CTCAAGCCCTCCAATCCAACCAAGCTCGGTCCTGCTCAACATATCTCGGCGAGCACTCTGCGATCCAATCGCAAAGGTGCACCCTAGGTTTGGATGTCAGTGAAGCATTCCAGCATTCCAGCTCACTAGTCTTTATATACCAGCCGTATATATATATATTATGTTATTACTATATATATATATATATTGTGCACAGTCAGGGCCCCCAGCAATATGAAGACTTGTTAGCCAAGAAACAAAAGCGGAGATGCCCCAAGGGCCAAAAGGGCTGCTGTTTGCAGATGGGAAAGGCGCAAGCTGCGGCAAGGAAGCTGCGGCATTTAAACTGATAGTGCCCCAGCACTGTGCCAAAAATGCTGCATTGATGCAGTCGTAACAAACAAGCAAAACCCAGTCAGTGTTGGGTGGAAAGGGTCCTTGAGATCATCAACAAAAACGTAAATGACTGAACCACCAAGACAGGTAAGGAATCACACAGTTCCCATGGATTCCTGGCCATAGGCTTCAATGCCCTGATTGGGTTGAGAGGCTTATGGCACCTGAATCGCGGAACTGCCGCTTGAGGTTCTCATCCTGCCGCAGCTGCACACATTCTTCAGGAGGCGTCCGACCTGCGTTTGGGGGGCAAAGAAAGCTGGTGGTCCAACCCCACATGAAGTTCCAAGCCATTAGGATTGAACTTGCAACCCGTTTTGATAGTTCCAAGTCATCCGGGCTGAACTGGCCATGAATTTTGACCTACCATAGTTCCTGGGCCCCACCATGGATGAACCCAGCATCAGACATAATTTACAACCCTAAAGGATACTCCTGCACATGTTGCACAGCAACTTTTCTCGTCCCAAGTGCTTTCAATCTGGCACTTGTCCCAGCTGAACCCCCTGAAAGTGGAATAGGTGTACCAAGCAATCAGTTGGAACTGCACACATAGTTAGCAGCAACAAAGCAGATAAGTGAAAGGGTTCAGCGCTATGGGGCTTGTGCTCAGCTAATCGAGGTATAGCAGTGGACAGGGCCCCCTGCATGCAGTGTTTAGCTAACACTCGCATCCCCTGCAGATCAAATTTGCCAGGAAGAATCCTCGAAGCAATGGACCAGAAGACGGCTATTTCATGGAGGACCCAACAGGGGTTGCAAACCGTGCACAAGGCAACACAATCAAATTGCAAGGAAGGCTCATCCATGGCTTGTCATGATTCAACTCCAACCTCCGATCACCATGGCCAAGCGCCACCTAGGCATACCAAGAGGTATAGAATAGATCTAGAGGTCACAAAAGAGACATTGCATTAAAGGCAACCTGACCTGCTAGATACCCACACAGCTAGCTTTGAAGCTTTTCTGCACACGAGGCACGAAGCATCCGGTGAGTCTCCCCAGGGAACCGTGCATCCTTCCAATTTGTTGGCCTCATGATCAAATCAACATGTTGAAAACAATATTGACATGCTCAAAACCTGCAGGAGTAATACACCTATATGAACATTTAATTTCACGGCTAGTGGCTTCAATCCCACGCTGACTTGCTTCAGCGGGCCAAGAGTCCGCATCGACAGAGACCTTGGACACATAGAAGCTTCTCGAATAGAGGACAACTCCAATGCTCTTCTTCCCTGACACATCCTTCACGGTGTAGCTCCTCAGAGTTTGTAGTTGACTGTTTTGAGCCATAATATGGCCAATGTCTAGATCTTGTTGACCACAAGTTTTTAGATCACAGTTGTTACGTTGTACAATTCCAAGAGTCTTTCGGGAAAAGCCAGGCTCTGGGAACTGGAAATGCATAGCAGATTTAGGCATTTTATTCTGGAGCTCTTCCAAAGCCGCCATGGCTTTAACCATTCTCTGATCAACCTTCTTGGGGGATGGTTTTGGGGTCATTGGCCTCTTCCGTGCAGGGGTTGAGGCCGGGTTTCCTGATGGTGTTTTCTGCTTCTTCTGGGCTGGACCGGCAGTCTTGCACTCAGTCTCCTTTGTCTCTGCCTTCTTGCACTTACTAGTGCTAGCCCTTGTTTCTTTTGTTGGCGATCTCTTCTTGCGCTTATTATTCTCCTTTGTTTTTTCTGGTCTTGGTGATTGCTCCTTGCAATCCTCGACATGTTTTTCGACCTTCCTTGGTCGACCTCGCCGGGGGGGGTTCAGGGCGGCTTTCGCCTTGGCTTCTGCTTTGGCAGCTTTGGCCTCTGCCTTCTCCAACGCCTGTGCCTTCTTCTCCTATCAGCAATCTAGGTGATTGCGCATGGGGAAATTGAGCAATGGCCAAAAGCTTAAGCATATACAGTACTACATGCAATATGAACGGACTAGCCTCTTCGAGACTCTTCCGAAGATTTGCTTGTTTCGCTGCAAGTGATCCATCATGATCAGTACCAGACACTGATGCCTGTGGCTGCCCACATGAGCTGAAGTTCAAGAATTCTGGAAGTTGAGGAGGTGATTTGATCAATGGACCACGTTTGTGCTCAGGATCGACATCACCACTCTTCTTGGCCTTAGATGGGGAATTATCATTTAAAAACACATGGCCAGTTAATTCAGGCACATGGGAGAATTTGAACATGATTCAATTGTCATGGCGCCAAAGAACCTCCATCACAGCTGATCCTCCTCGCTGGTCCTCTTTGCATCCGTCAGGACTGTCATGCACCTCTTTCGTCAATGATGCCACCTTGACCAGGCCATGAGCACGGTATGGGCTTGGGGAAAAGATCAAGTGAAGATATGATCATGCATGTACATGTCAACTACTACTAGTACTCACCAACACATGTACAAATTAACCAACCTTCACTGCTTCGTTGATGTCATCCCGGAAGTCTAGAACTCGTCGCACTGACAATGATGGCTCATCACTGCGTGGTGAGCTCAAGAACTTCTTCTCCACTGAAGACACCTGGAAAGTCATTGAACTCGATTGAATTCAAATATACATGCTACAAATTCAGCAGATTCCTCTTAAAGCTGGTGCCGCAATACCACCTCTTCCAAGTCCTTTTCTTCCGACTCCTCTTGGTTTGTGTCCTATACAGTGGGTGAAAGGTTAAAGCGGCAGAGATTTGTCTGGCTTCTCTGAAAAACATTTGAGCCTTGCAATTGGAACCCAGTGAAGAAGAACTCCCACGCTTGGTCAAGATATTTCCCTAGGATTGAAATTGCAAGAAGAGTTTTGAGAACATGTGGCCTGTGAACACGTTTATAAAGCTTTGCATTTGCCACCAAGTGACATTTTGGCAATGGAGCTTGATGACAATGTTTTTCAGAACTCTCACCTTTGGTTCCCTGGCAGAGCTTTGAGCTGCAGCTGCTCCTCATGAGTATGCATACAGATATGCTATGTTAGTTCTTTTTGCACTTCCATGCCTCGAATTGGGAGTTGCTCTGGCAATATCAACCAAATGCGTGCCCAGGCATCGCAGTCGCGTTGCTTGCGTCCGTGCCCACTCCTCAGCAGCATACGTGCGGGCCGAGGGGCAATTATTGGGACAGGTGGGACCAGTGGTCAGGATGGAGTAGTAGGTATAGCATAAGTGTCACAAATAGTGCCAACCCAGCACATGTGTGTCTTAAGCTAAGTGTCACGGATCAAACCTCGCCCACCTCTGACCCCATACACTCCACTATGCAAATTGTATGTCACACTCAGCAGTATGCAGGCTGCCTGGAAGGGAGGATAAGTTGCAAGCTGCAGCTTCAGAGTTTCCTGTTCCTAGCACTTCAATGTCCAACCCACTCTGTCATGCACACTCTCATGCCTCATGGTGCACATAGTGTGGCAATGGCGTTGTCCCTCCAACACACCAAAGGTATTCCTTGACCAAATCGTAATTGTTCACCAAGTCAGACTCAAGAACAGCTTCTCGCTTCCGTGAAGGCCAATACACCACTGGCCGATCCTGATCAAGTGTTTGCATGTGGCAGGTGGGGCTCACATGGTTAAATTTATAGTTCTCCAATCATATAGTTATAAATACCACTTTGCAAGTACAAAGTACAGCAGGGTGCATGTACATGTACTCAAGTTAAGCGTCGTCCGATTTTAGGATGTCAGACATGTCGGTCTCAGCAAAGTTGCGGATGGCATCAAAGATTGCCTGGGCTTGTTCCTGAGTGAGAATGACACCCCTGAAAATATATGGAATGGGGCATTGCTAACCCATGGCTGAAACATATTCATGATGACTCATGAAGACCAATCCTGCAACCAAAAATCAGAAACCTTGAATTTCAGGGGGTGGTGGTAGACCTTTGCCCCAGCCATCTCCTTGGTATGCATCATCCTGGTACCAGCCTCATATGCCATTTCCACCTGGTCCTGCAACGGCATGGTGGCTGATTCCATCTCGCCTTTTGAGGCTGATGTGCTCAAGCTGGAGCCAAACCACTGCACACTCCGATCGCAAAAAGAGCCACAGGGAATGGCGGTGGTAAATGCGATGATCACCAAACCCTGCTCCAAAGCTTAACAATCATTGGACCCTAGAATTTGGAAGTTCGTAATTAAACAACAATTGAGGTGGGACGTTTGTGGAGACCCTTGGCCTCCCAAGATCATCACCCATCAAGTCTCCACAGGTCACCAACACCCTCCCAATCTGTAGTGCTGGCAAGGGGATGGCCGCACCTCTCAATGAAGCAGCCCGCAGAAGCCCCATTGCCAAAAAGGCCGAGACAACGGCGATATGAAGGGACACAATGTAAACAATTGTGAGATCTATTTGATCTTTTGATGTTGCATCCATGGTGACCTGTGGGCTCCGAGCCAAACATCCGCTGAGCAGGTCTTTGGACCACCCCAGGGTCCGAACTCCTCCTGAGCAACAATTCGGGTTCAAAGACTTGCTCAGAAGGCAGTCTTCCAAACAGCTCCTGAGCCAGTGTTTGGACGTCTAGGGCATTGCTGCGCTGCTTTCAAATACATATCTCCAATACTGTCTTATTGTCATGATATTATCAATTATTTTTGTGCAGCGCCCAACTCTCAAATCCCAAAGTCTTTCGGCCTTCATCTCTTCCGGCAAGTCCAAGCGTTGCACGCTCCCATTCTCGCGGATGAGCTGAGATCGGAGCTCCTGCGACTCTTACGCGCGAAGCGCGGCAGGTGGCATCACACGGGAACACCAAGAACACCCCAAAGAGACCTCTATCTCTCGCTGAACACCTGGAACACCTGGAACCCTGCTCTGCGACTGTAACTCGTCCGATGACCGCTGTCAAAATGTGTTTCTTCTTCACCCGTGGAGTGGAGGCCAAGATCAGCCCACTCAGTAGGACGAGGAAACGACCAGGAAGTGAGTGGATGCGCTGATGAAGATCATTGAGCAATCCAGTCCACCATAAGGACTTTCTTTCTAGTCTTCTATCCGATCAAGAGATCCAGGCAATGAATTTCTCCAGTGCTATTCGATGCAGTTCGGAATACCCTTTCGAGCGCCCGGTGGGATGAGATGGGACGAGTATCCAGTTTTCCCTTGATTGTTGTGGTTTCCTGGTTCCTGCGTGACATTTAAAACACCGCCAACAATCTGGAGTAGCAACTCTTTAATTTGAAAACGATCCAACTTGACAATGGAAAGGAGAGCTGACATCAACTCAAAGGCGACACGAGCCGAAGGCGAAGCCACAGTCCTCAGTCCACAGGCCTTGAGCAATGAGATCCTTGAGAAGATGTCGATTCACCTGCACACCACGTGATCCGAACATGTGAAAACCTCCCAACTTCTCCCGTCGGCGGCGCACTCTTTGACGACCACCATGGACGAACACGTCCTCGATCGAGGGAACACCCGATCTCGGACCGCCCCAAAACTGCCCAAACTCAGGGCGTCACTCGTCTGGCTTCGTGACGCCATGTGACGCCCGTGCCTGAACGAACTCTCCGGAGAGCACCCGACGCACGTAGAGGTTCTGCCTTGGTACCCGATCCATCCACCAGGACGGCGTCCCAAGGACGGCGCCAACAGTCTGACCAGGGGATTCCCACGATTTCCCACTCCAATGACATCTGGAAAACTGCAGCAGGTCCCATGTCATTGCCTCGTCATTGGCAAAACCATTTTTTGGGAGTTGATGGACAAGAAGTGACACGAAGGTATATCAAAATTGATCATGAATCCACAGTGGGGCCTAGCAGTTTGCACTGCCAGACCATCATGGGCCTCACGGCCATAGGGCAAACGGCCGTCTCCACCGGTGAGGCCATTCCCTTTTGGGGTGTCGGTCCATGGAACAGCTATGAACAGGTCCAAGCCACGTGTAGGGCTCGAAAGACTCGTTGTTTCCCAAGATCTGTGCAGTGCTCGCCGTGGGCATGGGTGCCTGGGATCTTGATCCAGCACGTGCGTCACGACCGCCACAACACTTGATCTGGACAGTGTATGTGTCGTCAGCCAATGAACTTCGACTGCTACCACCTGAGAAGGGCATGCCAAAACTATTACTGTCTGCCTTTGAGTGGGCCATCTCAAAATTGTAGACCAACATCTCACCACGTTGCTGCCCTAGGCCTGCCAAGAAGGGGACCTCCTAGCAGAACCCCAGAGCCTTTGCTGAGGACATCCACATGCAAAAAACATCCCCTTTTTACCCACGACAACACGGATGAAACTGGTGCCTTGAACCCAGCTGGAGTCCCGGCCAGCAAGTCAAAGTGTGCAAATGTGGAAAGCCAAACACAGGTGTATGATAGCTGTTGATGACTGAAGGACGTGTGCTCTATATTGTTCTATGTTTATATGGACTTATATGGATAACAAGACTGATAACAAGATATTATAAGCCTGTTCTCCGAATTCAAGACTTGGGGATTGTCATATTAACTTGCCTAGGGATCCAGCCAAATGCAGTGCCACGCAGTAAGCCCGTAACGCACACCATCTACCCTGACGTTGTCGCACCAAGGTTTTCCAAGAGGCCACCAGCAAGGAGTTCCTGAGGCCACTCCGGGCGATGCGCCGCTTCAGCGCGGACCAATCCCAACGGCCACTCTTGGGAGTCTGGCCCCACAAGTCGAACTGCAACTGCCCTGGCCGGGTTGGGTACCAAGGAGGATTCAAACCGTGTGAAACAGTGGATTCACAACGCATGGTTTTTCTGGAAGGTCATTTCATGTTGCCGGTTCTTGCCTACAGGCCCATCCCAAAACCTTTGATTTCAACAGCTCTCACCTCCAGCGAAACCGGCACCACCGGCGCGCCTCGGCTCACAGGGCTGCCCTGATAGCTCTCGTAGCTGCCATGAAGCTCTGCCAGCTCACAGGACGCTTCACACGCTGCGAAGTAGATGGTCTCGAAGATGTCCTCTTCAACACCGGGCACAGCCCGTGCGGATGGGTCCAGTGGTTGTTCACTCATCGGCCGACGTTCATTGCATTCGGTCGAAGTGTGTAGCAAACGGAAGGATCCCCAAAGGTGTTTTCTGCGTGAGAAAAGACATGGCCCGGCGGGTTACTGGCGAACAAAACAAGTACAATTACTATATATCATATGATATAGTATGCACCTGGTGTACTCTACAGTTTATACCCTTTAGACTGAGACCCTTTCACTCATTCAAGCCTTGTGCTACAACCTGCCCCACAAGGTCATGAGCCAATGACCATCGGGCCCCAGAGCTGCATCATGCATTCATCCAAACCCTCCACTGATGTCTCGGAAACATTTGCTTCTCGCGCATTTCTGACCTCCCGACCAAAAGCAGAAAGGAGCCCAGTGGACTCTTGGGCTTCCGCAGGCTAGGCAATCAAACAACCTGCTGAAACGACCCTCATAGAAGTAAAAAGATATCACACATGCAACAAAAAAGTTCAGAACCAGCCATCAAATAGAACACCACCAACTTCCCCAGTTCCCCAACCCACAACGGGCCCCGGGAATCCTCATTCAACTCTTTGGCCGCTTCACTCTCAAAGGGCAGCTTCCTCAGTTCGGCTCTCCGAAAAAAGTGCCGTGCTCTGGTGTTGGAGGTCGAAGGGTGCGGTGCCAAAATGAAGATCTCTTCTGGAATGTGTGAAAATGGGTGGAAATGGGACCCACCTGGAAACCTAAACAACCAGAAATCAATGGTTGGAAGCCCAAATGGCAAGTGAGATCCTTTATGTAACAAGTGGCTGGTTGTTGTTTCCAGGCAAACATGCACAAAGAAAAAGAACATCCAACACACACACACACCCTGAAAAGCTGGCCCCGATCCTGGCCAGTCGTCAAAGTCTCTTTTTGTCTTTTCGGTTCAGTCAGGCCTTGGGCCTTCTTTGACGGCACCGCGTCCGTTGTGAAGAAAAACACGAAACCCCACAAACGCCGCACCGTTCGGCTCCGTGCGGAGCGTTCGGCGAAAAGACGTGCTGAAGCCAATGAGAACTAGAGTCTAGAGTCTATGGAGTCTATGCGCTTTCTATTTTGAAGAACAATCCGCTCGTTTTTCTCCTGGTTTGGCCGCTTGAAAAGATCTATGCAGCAGTATGGCTGGGTTAGACCTAGGCGGCACTTAATGCTTTCCCTGTTGGGAAACCCAAACTCACTTGTGACTCTCTTCTGTGAACTTGTGTGAGTTGCATGCCTTATCCCAAGTTCTCCCCTTCATCTACACGGCCCCACAAACAAGCAAGTATGCCTCATGCAACAAAGCCACACTGGTAATTGAACAAGTTGAACAACTCTGTCCTCCTTGATGCAGAAGCATCGCACTTCCAACTTCCATGAGTAGCTCTTCTTGCAGTAATATGCAGTACTCCCTACTCGAAGTTTCTCACCCACAAACGCGTGTAGGCATCCTAGCTCCGCTGGCAGCCAGCCCCTGTACCGGCAACCATGGCTCATCATCAGAAACACATCCGCCAAGCCTTGCACACCCAACCCAATGGGCCGATGTCGCAAATTCGATCGTTTGGCCTCCTCGATGGGGTAATAGTTCCGGTCGATCACCTCGCAGGCCCCACATGGCCGCCCCTCGGTGTCTGTGGGGGTTTGCTGGGGAACACCAGTGAAGTTAAAGGTTGGCAATGTGGATAGGGTAGCAAAAAATATCCAGTAATATCCAGTATACATTTAGCTGAAGATGTTGAAGTACTGATCACGCAGTCTGGAAACGCTGGACGTGGGCAAATGTCTTGAGGAATGGATACAGTTTGCTGCGATGAGAGGATGTCTGGACAGGCCGAAGAAGAACCATTGTTTGTTCGCAGGTCACCCCAAGTACAACAACACACCGTGCGGCATCTGCGTGTGGATCACGCCATGCGACGAGAATCTGCAAGACCTGGGGGAGTCTCAAAAAAAGCAGGCCTTTCAGCCATGGATCAACCAAGAAAACACCACCATTTCCACACAGTCTTGGGCAGGCCTACGGATCTTCCCACATCAAACGTTTCCCACCTTTCGTCCTGCAAGGTGTCCCGTAGACATCGAAGGAACCCAATCTGACAGCCTAGGACACCAAAGCTCCCGACCGAGACACCAGCTCTCTGCGCCGAGAAAAGGCGCCCCGAATCTGGCCTTGTTGAGGTTTTTCGTGGCAACTTTGGTGACCTCCAAAGCACGTTCTGGAAAGTGCGACGTGGGTACAAACATCTGGATGGACAAGGATGGACGAAGATAGAAATGTGAGGTGAACAAGAAATACCAGTTTCACCTAATTGTGTATTTCCTATGAGTTTTCGAGTTTGAAAGGTCGATGTCATCAGTCTATCCATGAACACAAACCCTGTCAACCTGACCTTATAAAGACCCTTTCAACCCCACCATGCCCCACCAAAACGCACTGGCTCGAGCTCCACACAATACGAAAGGGGCCTCGTAGAGTTTCTGGAAATCATAGGGCCGCCCGGACGCCTCCGCGAAGGCAGGCAACGCAATGGACGCCTCAGCACCGGCCGGGACGTCCTCGGTCGATGCTCACATATCTCCGTAAGTTGTCGTAAAAAGATATATATTAAAAAAAATATATATTATATGTAAGCCTCCCCCTGTACCTGCCTCTCATGGCACATGTTTTCGCCTGACTGTAGGAAACATGTGGGCTACACCTATTTCCCCACCTGTCAGGTGAGGGTTGTCAGATTTTATGTCAGCTGGCGCCCTCCTCCTCCTTCTCCTTGCTCAGGAGCTGATTGCCCGAAACCGGTTCTAGACGCAGCGAAACATAGTTGTTCAGCTATGTGGTGTACGGTATGCCTGCTAGAGAACGCAGGAAATTCATATCGCTGAAAATCACACAAACTCCATGACGTATAACTGCACCTGCCGTCCTCCTAAGATCGAGCAATGATGGGGCAACTATATGAGGAATACTTATAGAGTGGTGAGAACTGGATGAACTCAAACCTTGTTGCGAATGCATCGTGCAAGCTCTCCTCCAAGCGCCGTGGAACATACCGAATGTGCATGTTTAAGGATTTGCAGGCTCAGTACGGCGCTGGTGTGGCAAAGCAATTGCGAGATTCTAACGAAGACCTTCATAAATCGGAGACCGATGCCGGCACTCATACTGGCGTGGAGGAGGACTGGTGTCAGCTAAAACAAAGCATCACCACCAAGTTACGTACGTGATCGGTCACGCCATGTTTATAGTATAGGTGGTGATGTTTAGTCAGAGCTGACCTTTCTATGTCCATGTGTGTCTCTCAAACCTCTGAACCACTACTTGGTAGAGCTCTTTAAGGGTGTCTCCCACCGTGTAGGACTTTGAGCTCATCCGGGTGTGGGATAGCTAACATATGACGACGATTGCGAAGATGAACTTGCTCTAAACCTTAGACCGCGACTTGATCTCTGAATGAAACAGACCCTTCAAGCATTGCATCTTTTTTGGGCAGCTATATATCTATCTATACCCCAAAGCTCATTTTGGACCCTCCCCCCCCCCCCCCCAGTTTTTTCAGAAGGCATTTGGAGCCCTATATACTATAAAGCTGACACAGGATTAAGTAATCACCCCCTATTAATCCATCCCAGCTCGACCCCCCCAAGACTAAACTATTTTAAAAACTAGATTTCCACCTTGGCATCATATTAATTATTTTAATCTACCAGAAACCTCCCCCTATTAATCAATCCCAGCTGCCCCAGAAACATGTAGTTTACTATTGTATCTAAAAATTGTTTTTGTTTTCTTTTTGCTAGCATTCAATATCTTCATCTCCTCATCTTCCTGATTTTCACAACCACCTCTCAACTGCCTCATCCTGCTCACCAATCCTTTTGATGGCTTCTCCTCAGGTCTCATGCTACCAACCATCCCCCAAAACAACAAAAACTCTCTAGCAAAAGTCGTTCATTTTCACTTATACCTCTATCAAAATCTTAACTTTCTCAAGCTCACAAAAGGGTACCCCTCACACAGGCCCTACCCCACCAATAGTAGGACCACCCCCTATGAATCAATCCCAGCTGCCCCAGAAAAATATAGTTTACTATTGTATTTCTGGTTATTTTTGTTTTTTTGCTAGTATTCAATATCTTCATTTCCTCATCTTCCTGATTCTCACCACCACCCCTCAACTGCCTCATCCTGCTCACCAATCCTTTTGATGGCTTCTCATGGCACAGAATCCCATCAACCATCATCCATGATCAGGTCCAGGTCCTCATCTCATCATCCATCATCAGGTCATCATCTTTATTAAGGGGATGTGGTCCTCAAATACCTCCTATCTCAGACCTTGTTGACCTTGACGGGGGGGGCCGTTTATGAATCCTACGTCGAGATTAGCCTCTTCGAAGGTCATCAAATAAAACTAAGACCGTTTTGACATAACATAATAACCTCCACCCGAGGCAAGTTGCTACCGGTGGTGAGATTGCAAGGTTGCAGTCATCGGCTCTCGGGCTACATGTGGAGCCTGGAACCGTGAACACCCTTCCCGAGGATCAGCCGAAGCTCAAAACAAGACAAAACACTCAGCGACTAGTTGCTTCTAAGATTTCCGCGCTGAGTGCGAAGAATGCGGAGATCATGTCGTGAGATTCCAAAGTCAACGACTCAGAGAGGCTGTTTCTTGACGTCAGCATTTCTGCTTATAGATGTCAAATGAAGTTCACTTACCGTCATTGCGCACAAAAATGGGTTCACTGCCATGGCGCAGGTGAACCCCTTTGTATACCTCACCAAAACATTCCAAAACTCTGAGGACTGGGTTTGCCAATGAGTTGGCAGCCCGCAAAAGGGATATGGACAACTGCAAGGCCAAGTTGGAGACCCTGTACTTCCAACGCTTGGATGATTGGAAGGACCGACCGGACTTGCTTTCCAAGGTGAATGGCGCCATCCTTTCTTGCGATGCAGCATTGACCTGGCCATCGAAACTGAGGCCGAACACCGGCGCACCGCCACCACACAACGGTGATGTGCCTGCAGCGCGGCCAACTGAGCCTTAGAGATCTGAACTCTGAGCTGTAAGCGCAGAAGTCTCGAAGTCGGGGACCTGTGTGTGTGTTTTGTGCTTGGAGACTGGTGGCAAACTAGCTAGTGAACATAATTTGGCAAACCTCCTGTTCCAGCAAGAATGGAATTCTGCATAACAAACTGACGGCATGAGAAGGATGTGGTGCCTCCGTGCCTCCGGATTGCAGCCTGGTCTGATTGATATCATGATGGTAATATGGAACACCCTGGACCCAAGCTGGGACTCGGAGGGCCTCTAAAGAGTTTTTGCGCTTTGATGTTTGGGTGGGTATCGGGTTTGAAGCATATGAGGCACTCACAATCCATTGAACCTTTGCGTATACTATATGCGACTTTGAATTCGGTGGCCTGAAAGCCAAAGCCACAAGATTAAAAGTGATAAGGTTTAGTTGCCACTCAAGATTCTTAAGTTGGTGGTTTGGGGGATCCACTAGGCTTGACAACCCAGGTTTGCTACTCAAGATACATATGATTTGGGGGATCCACTGCAGGGCTTGACAAACAAGGTTTGCCACTCAAGGTTTTAATTTTGGGGATATACGGGGCTTGACAGCCCAAGCCGATTTGGGTGATCCATGGGGCTTGACAACCCAAGCCCGGAGCCAATGGCCTGAGATTAGCTGCAGTGTCGATACAACCTGTTCGTAGCTCTATGCGAGAAACAAGTTCCATGCATGAATGCAACCCCATTTAATCGAAAGCCTTACAATGGCCAGCAAATACAAAGTCAGAACAGCACACTGTAAAACACGTTGTTTTCATAGCAAAGGTAGGTACTGGGGGGTACATATATATATATATATAATTGTATATATAATTATATGTTATATACGTATATAATGACATATTATTCTCTGTTAGAAACAAGTGAATGCTCTATGTCCAGTGAGCCCAAGCCCTAAGCGCATCCCAATGAACTGTTTGACGACCCAGGATGAATACCGTCCTCATCCCATCTCATACCCATCGGGTTCGGCATGTTCCGGCTCGTGGACGGGACCGAAATCACCAGCGACACCACGGTTCGTTTCGCGTTGCATCAGGTTTGGAAGTCTATTCCCGAGTAGTCGCCTCGTTTTGCTGGGTAGAATGGAGAACAAAGGCCAGTACATACCCATATACTTTCTCGGCCAAGCTTTGGCTGTTGATCCATTGATAATAGGATCTCTGCGTCTGTCCAAGCACCCAAGCAACCACCTGCAATTCGATTCAGTATCGTATGGTATTGGAATTTGAGAGGACCAGCCGCCACAAGCCGACTAGATTAACCTGTCAAGACTAGGCTTGTTACATGGAGATGCTTCTTGAACACCATCGTCCAAGAAAGGTCCAAGAGGCTAAATTGCAAACGGCGACCTCATCTCGCGAAGTGTATTCAATGATCTCAGTGCAAAGGTTAGAACAATGGATGGTGCCCAAGTGATTCTGGTTGGACTTGCTGTTGGCGTGATCCTCCGGCACGGAAGTGTCAGTCTCGTCTCGCGTCTGCGCCCGAAAGACATGAAAATCAAACGGGCCATGACCTCGGCCCCTTGCCTTTTACTCTTGCCACTGTTGCTGGATTTTGGTGGAAGAAATCCTGAGATGTGCAAACAGTATATGGAATCTTCTACTGGATACAACTCCAGAATGGCTGTCAGGATGTTTGACCTTCTTGTATCACCAATTGCCATATATTATCATATATTATGATGAATGAACCTTTTTGGCCTAGAGCCTAGTGATCCTCCGGTAGTTGTACTGTCCACAGGCTCTAACTTCAGGCTCCAACAGTCTTCAAACTGCCAGTCCAACCCATTCATTGTAGTGTCGCCTTGGAAGCCTGAAGGAACATACAATGAGACGACACATCTGCGTCATGTGTGGGTGAACTTAAGCAAGGTATGTTGACGGATCCAGCCTTATAAAGCATGAAAGGAGTGCCCGTCTCGATCTGCGCCTGACTGGCACAATCTTCTGGATTCTCAAGTGCATTTTTATCTTTGTCTTCCAGATCATTTGACTACTAAATGTGCTTTTTGGTGGGAAGTACTGAAGCAAACATATAACACAATATCCATGATCAAAATAATTGTGAGTCGTTGTGAGTCCGGCGTCAGACGGGCCGGTTCCTGCAGCTACCAGGCTACCCATAGAGTTTGGGTATCCCATCACCAGTAGCAGTGGATGATAATGCTTGGTACAGGCATGAAAAGGTTAAAAGGCCTTTCTGAATATGTATTATATATTATATATATATGATGACATTATATGACAATCTTTACCGCTTGTTACTGGTAATGAATGGGACACACTCTTTTTGGAGATACCTAGTAGAAAGAGGAGTATTTTAGTATATTCGTCTTCCAATGTCTTCCACACCGCTTCGGCTGTCAGCACGAATCCGCTGACATGGCTTCGCCGGACCCGCCGATCTCGGACACATTCTGAACGTCCATTACCCCAAACACCATGTGAAAGTCCATTGGATCGGGAGTTTTTTAGGAAGAATTTCAAGAGCAGTAGCAATTGTATGATGCTTTTCGCCCATGTTTGTCTACTCAGTTTTGGTCTTTTACACTAGCCCGGGCCTCTACAAGCTCTCTACACAGACTGGCCTCTTTATTTCAGAGGCCCACCCAGCTCCCAGCTCGTTGGCTCCACTTGTTGTGGGGAATTCGCACCCTTCGTCGCTCCTTTTCGCTCCACCGGAACTCTCCTCCGGCCGCGCCTGCAAGATCTGCGAGAACAGGTGCCGCGCCTTCACCGTCTTCCGGCCACGCTTCTCCGCCTCAAGCCTCGCTGGGTCGGCTCGGAAAGCAAAAGCCGGGGCGAAGCAAATGAAAGCGCCATGGTTAACATAGTGTTTTTGGTTTAAACGTGGTTTTGACATGTGTTTACTATGAGAGGGGTCCTCCATGGTGAGACGAAAACCCAACATGTTTAAAGAAAGTCATGCATTTGTTCCACGAAAAGATCGAGCAAAGATGAGGAGATCTGTTTTCGGCGTTTCTGTCACACTTCCGCACAACACGCGTTTTAGAGACGGGTCTATAATATTATGTTCGACCTTCCATTAAGGTTGTGATGATTTGGCGTCAGGAAGAAATCCAACAAGCATTTGGATTCGACCCTTTTTGCTCCGGATTTCTGGGATTTCTCAGGTTCAATATGGCAGCTAGTCTGTATGTTGGAAGAAAGGTTGGAAGCTCTCTCAGAGCTAGTGGATTCAATATGGAAGCTCTATATGTTTACTAGCTAGTCTGTCATGTTGGAAGCTCTGTCATCTCGGTCTTCCAGCATGTCGATGGCTGACCTGCCTCGTGTAGAGTTCGTCGAAGGCGTCGCCCCAGAAGTCCATCAAACCCTTTCCGGTCTCCTCGAAGGAACACCAGTGTGACGCACCGTTTTACTTGGTCACAAAGCGATGCAACACTGGACATTTGAATGCTGGGTTGATCTGCATAGGTGTGGATAGTGTTTGTTTTGTTGTTCCTATGCTAATTGGGTGACTTTGGGCAATGGCTCCTTCTGCAGCAACAACTCTTGGACCCTGGTTGTGCACATGTTCACCTGGAGTGACTGAGTGAAATAACATGTTCTGGTGACCCCAACCACACGTGTGCACACTAATGAGCCCTCGGAGTTACGTGGGACGTAAAACAGATTCACAATCTCGCATGTGGGCCATGGATAGTTCTATGATAAGTTCTATGTGTCCCAGTCGTTTTCCATGTGTTGTTTCATGCTTTGTCATCCCTAATTTTCCCTTTTGCCATCTATGGTTTCCCCCTTTGCCATGGGTTCTGTCATCGTCCAACAAAACTGCTTGCTGGTCCTGATCGAAGGCCTCATTGGGGCAAAAGAGTGTCCAATCCTCATCAGCCTTGACCTGGCCGCAAAAAACACCATCAATACACTGCCTGGAATCATCATGGGAGTTCACCACCTTTTTTACAAAGGAAAAAGGTCATCCAAGCGGCCATGTTCATCCATGATGATTCCAAATACCCTCAAGACTGAACAGAACCTACCTGGATCATCCACATGTCACACTCCTAGACTTCCCTACACTGGCCTCCAGTGCAAACTCATTGGATGATCCACAGGCCACATGTCACTTCTCCAGCTGCAAAAACAGCTTTCCCAGACGTCAGCGACTTGCAGCGACCGCCGTGCAATTCAACTGCCGTGCAAATGCTCAATTCTTTCCCGGTAAAATGATGCACCAAGATCATCATTCGACGGCTTTTTGCCTTGTAACATTGAAACAAACAGGAACAGCACGGGCCTCCCACATTCTGAGCTCCAGTCCTGTGGACACCTCCCGTGTTTCCGTCCGACCGGTCCCTCGTTGATTCCTGTCCGAGAGACTCGCTTCATGAACAGATCGGGCACCCACAAACCTCGGCAAGCTGCGGCACGAGAGACTCGCTAGTGACTAGTGAGATTGAGACAGAGCGGCTGAACCCTGCGGGTGTTTCTTGATTGTATACGTATCATTTTGGGAGTACTTTTCATGTGGCTAAAAATTGGTTTCCGCCAGGGAAGCTACAATGTAGCTTTGTGCCATCCTGAGTGCTGAGCTATCAAACTTCAACAACATGCAAAAGGGCAAACGTCAGAGATTTGTCATTGTTTACCTGGTCAATTCTTACATACTACACGTTTTAGACCCAATGCCCGCACACTTCGTTCGGAAAGAGAAGCACGGCGGATGCTGATGACAAGGCAAGTTGAGAGTCCAACAACGAAAATAAACACCCACCAAGGCACCATAAAACAAATCTCTTGCTCGCTGCTCTTCCTTGCCGTGGTTCTTGCGCAGCTCCAAGAACTCATAGACGTCCGCGTGCCAAGGTTCCAAGTAGACTGCTACAGCACCCTTCCGCTTGCCACCACCCTGACGATTGGCACAAAAACCGCATGCTTGGCACATCGAAATGAAGAGAAAATACAAAAGGAGCACTCAAGAACGTCTAAAGACCGTCTAACATTTGCCTTGGTGGTGCGAAACAAATAATCCCGCCAACCCAACCTCATGGGCTTTCTCAAAGAAGGAACCCACGGTGCGACGCGAAGTACCCACGGTCAAAGTTGGTGTCTCTGTGTGTCTCTTACGCAAGTCACTAAATTTCATTAATTGGATGACCTTGACGCGTCATCAATGACCAGCCCCCCATAGTTGAAAGATGTGGACCAGGCTCTTCGTCTTCGCTTGACCCCAACTCCATGTGGTGCCAATGCTCAAGGATTTGGCAAAACGTTCTAAATCGACCATATGGATCTCCCCAAGAATGACAAGAATGATCGAATTCCCATGAATTTGACATGCTTGCAGGAACATGCTCCACGTTCGCCCACGAGCCCGCGGCCTGGTCCACATAGCGTGCCGTCTCGTTAAAGTTCCGGAGCATGGGTACCAGGCCGTTGCTGGTGCCGTTGGTGCCCCTGATGTAGGAGCCACTGGCGCGAATGTTGGAGACCTCGTTACCCACGGACGGTCCGACGGGCCGACGGACAGCGAGGTCCCGCCTCTCTCGACTGGGCCCATCGATCGGCACCGTTTTTGGGGCGACGAAAAAGTGCGAAGCGACATGCTGATCCTTTCGAAGACTACGAGATGCAGATGCAAACACCTACGAACAGTGGGTCGTTTGAACAGCTTGACAAAACAAAACTCAAAGGAGCCTGAGGAGACATTCCCAACTATATACATACAACCACAGTTCATGGAAAAACCAACCAGCAACAAATGACCAAACGTCCATATGGATTCCCAAACTCGCATATAGGTACAGTTCCAGTACTGTTCTTCTCCATGTTTCCCAAATGGATTTCTGGTCTTTCTCCATGCGTTGCCCCGAAGATCTCAACGAGCCACTACGCGAAACCGCCGGGTCACGGCCACACCAATGCCGCCGGCAGATTTGGAGATCACAGCACATTGCTTCAGGGTGTCATAGATCCCATCGATGCTGTCTCCCTGGAGGTTTAGGAACTAGGGCCTAGGGGGGCGACTCTCACGTATTAGCTGATTGAGGTGGATCCTTGGATATCCTTGGTGCTGCATTAAGAGTACAGGCCCTGCAAGGAGGGGGTTGTAAGATTTGTAAGGAATTCCATGGATGTTGTGTTGTTTGTATTTGTTCATCATTGAAAAAAATTGTTGTGTTCGGTAGTTCCGGGCCCTGGGCAGTTCTAGAAAGAACAGCTTGGTTCAGGTCGGAGACAAACCAACACACCTGGCAAACATGATCATTATTGGGGCTAGACAGCTATAGAGATATCTTAAGCAACATGTGAAGACATCACTCAAAAGCCCTCCAAAGCAGGCTATGAACAACTTGAACATGGGCATCATGGCTGCATGTGCGTGACGGAATACTCGCGGGATCTTGGCATATATCTTGACCATTTGTTGTATAGCTGTTGGTGGTCCTTTTTCAGCAGTACAGGGATCACTCAAAAAAAGAAACGCCCTGGTGCAACATGCCCAGATTCCAAGTTGCATGGAGATTATTCCTTGTCCAAAGCTTTTTAAGAGCCAAGTCGAAACTGTGAGGTCTCCACTTGTTCGCACCATCTTCTTCTACCCATCACGGTCGACCATTAAAGTCTTCCAGAGTCGACCGAAGGTGCGGTCTCATCGGATCAGGTGAACGGGCACCTGCATCTTCAGCAGAAAACAGGATGACATCTGCGGATAAGGCGTCCCTGCATTGAAGAGCGTCGGCGTCGCGTGAGTGAAGTACTTCCTCCGGCGGTGTGTTCAGTGGGAAGCGTTTCGCGGGAAGCGAAGCGGAGGGGTCCCAAACTGAAAATGCGACGAGGGTCCCAAACGATTGGATGAGGCAAAGGAACATGGAGTCCATGGAGAGAAACTGTTGGCTCTTTCATCCATGTTCCCGCCACAGCACGCCGCCAAACCAAAAAAAAAGTCTAATCCAAGGATGTTCATGTCATTTCAATCATTTCTAGACATTTATATGGTTCCATCCGGATTGAACATTAAACTTGCTTTCCACCATTAAACAAGTCACCCGGTCGTCTCCTGGACATCAGCTCATACGTTTCCAGTGTGGCTTTGAGATCTCCACAGTGGATCCCACATGCTGCGCGCATGATCAGGTGCTGAGGACGCTCGACAATCCGGCCACCCACACGCAGCAAGTAAGACTTCTCCAGAGTTTTGAAGCCTCAGAAGCTTCCAAGCCGAGGTTCGAAGGGACAGGTCAAACGGATGAATTTCACCGACAGCGATGCTGTTTTTTGGCATATATCATCATATATCCCCCCAGGTAAAGGAGGCAAGAAGGACATATATGGATGGACAAAAAGAGCCGTGGGAGGTTTTCCTCGTGGACTTGGTGAGCGATGGTGAAACAGTCGCAAAGCCTGGCGGAGTGGGGTAAAAATACCCAAAGGCTTCCAAGAGTTGTGGTCTATTCCTTTCGAAACACCTATGTACGGTCTACTTTTGCTCACTCCAGTGAACTGTTCCTTTCGCTCCTTCATTGTCTCTCTTCCATTCAAGGGGTGACATGAGGTCTCACATTGAAGAACTTGCGATGAACACCCCCCAAAATGACGGGTGGATCCACCACCGCCTCGAGTCTGACTATCGAACATCGACTCCGACACCGCTTCGCTGGTGGATCCCCGACCTCGCACCGAAACGGGTCGCCGACCTCGCCGAGGAGCCGAAGTAGTCGTAGCCCAAATCTCTGTCATAGTCGATGGCCTGCGGAGCAGGTCGGGGGCGCGGAGCATGTCGAATCCCGGGCTGGGCTCCTGTCCCACCTCCGAAAAGCTTCGTTCGTTGCCAGCGGATGCGGGGAAGATGGTGGGTGGGTGGTTTGGGTGGGGGGGGAGAGTGCCTAGCTTCTGAGGATGTGGGACGGGAGTTTTTGGGAATGATGACCAGGCGTCCCGGACATCAGTGACATGTGACGACGACACTCCTTCGTCCTTCCTTCCACTCAGGACTGTTTCAAGCTACTAGTACCACAGTGCAGACAGAGACACACTAGTCCACAAGTGCAAACATAAGAAAAACTGCGGCACCTTGCATGGTTGTATCATGCTATATCTTGTATCTATGTGGATGAAACAAACTAAACATGCTAGTTAGTCGTCCTGTCTCTCTTGCTGGGTCTTCTCCCCAGTGATGTGGCCTCATCGAGCTCCTTGCCGTTCTCCTTCACAAAGTCCCAGATCTCCTCCGGTTTTCACGCGAGATCTCGACCAGCCGATGGGTTCGGTTGGTGCGTGCAACATGGTGCAACCCACAGAACCCGGCGAGTCCAACAGAAGAAATCGACCTCCCAAGAGAGGTTAAGTCATATAGGACCCTACTGAGGTATAGATAATCATGGATCATCTGTATCTTTAGGGTTCTTCAACCTCTGCTGGTCCTACCAAAACCCATGCCAAACGAAGACCAAAAAACCGGCCGTCCTGGGCGAGCAAGCCAGCATTACGGCCCTGCGGATCCACGTAATGGAAAAGGATCTTGCAGGTCTCGCAGAATGAGTCAGAGGTGTTCCTAAGTCGGTGAGAACTGACATGGCAGTGCAATGCATGAGACAAGTCCTGATAATGCAGCGCAATGCATGAGACAAGTCGAACGATTTTAGTCATAGGGCGAGAAAAAACAACTCAAACCGAATGGGAACCGACATGAACCGACCAAGGAGTCACTTGTCAAACCGGATAGTCACCAGGCGTAATCCACTGGGCGAAATGCAGAAGTATACCGGATTGGTAGCTTTACATGAGGGTATCATACAGGGTATCATTCAAAGATCCAACTGATGGCACCCATAAGGGTATCATATGTCATAGGATATCATACCGGAAAACTCCGTTCCCATAGGGTATCATTGTTCCAACTGATGCACCCTGGACCTCCTTGACACCACCGTAGACCGTCCACCGTCCCGGGAAAGACCAGTGTCTTGTGAAGGTTGGAGACCGCGATGCGCGCCGCCAGGGTGGAGAAGTCCGGATGCTTCTGAGACATGTAAGCACCTGAGACATGGTGGATCATACCAGATATGACTCATACCTACAGCACCTGTAGCTAAAGCGCCTCAGGATGGGACCATCACTGGGACTGGAAGACTTCTACACTTTCAGATTCACTGATTCTTTAGGGACTTTGGGTTCAACCAAGTACAGTAATACCTGTATAGCGTTGAGTTCGCAGTCCCAGATGTCAACGTAGCTACGTAGCCTACGTAGCTTGCGTTGGAAGGCCCAGGCACAAGTCTCTGCAGCCAGGGTGTCGATTTGCGCCGTAGTGATGCCGGTGTGGAGGCCTGGACGTCTTACACCAAACATCTCCAAATGCCAAAGGTACAAAGACAGTTCCAAAATGCGTTCATCTCCGCCCTTCAAACACCTCCACCCTTCAAACATGTTCTGGGTAAAATACCATGCCCAGACTCTTCCTTCATTGGATCTTGCATCTTCTGGAAACAGTGAATCATTCATGGGCTGCCATGGTGAAGCACGGTCCACCAATGACGAGCTCTGCTGGTCGGTCAAAACATTGGAGACAAACCTGGAAGAACTGAATGAAACCTCCTTCAAATGACCTGTTGGTTTCCTTGTCTTGGCAGTTTTGTTTTGCCTTTTGCTCTTCCTCATAAGTAGCAAGTTCTTCCTAACATGTCCCTGGCAAGCAGAGAAAAAACATATTAATATGCACATCACGCACGATGACCGTCTACGATGAGAGGTGGGCAAAAGACAAATGAACAACTAAATGAAGATCGCTTGGTGATGTTCACCTACCTCAGGTAGAGGGCTCTGACTCAGACATCAACCCTTCACAATTGTGAGCAATAGTCCAACAACCTGTCCCAATATTCAACAAATGTCCATATTATAGGATGAACCAAGTGAATTGGTTCCTGCAAAAAAAAGTCATTTTTCAAAATGCAAAAACTGAAACCTATCTGGGACCTTATCATCCTTATCCAATAATGGCCTGGCCATTCCCATCTCCAGGCCTTCTACCACCTTCTGTGTGACCAACACCGGGTCGATGTAGCGCGGGTCGAGACCCTCGCAAAGGTTTCGAAGGCGCTTGGTGATGTTGTCAAACTTCACCTCCTGAAGTGCTGGGCCTACGGCCTACTACTCTGCGGAAGTCTGACTCTTGGATGAAGACCCTGAAATGAAGATCCTTTTAAGCAGGAAAGAATAGTAGGAACGCTCGCGGGAATCTCAGCGATGTAAGCAGAGAGAGGCGGATGAAATAGTCACGACTATTAGTCACCTATTCTTGGAGTGGTTGGAGTCCAATCCTAGAATCAGGGGGTGATCTGCTGCGATTGGTGCACTGATCGAATTTCACGCGCTGAGCCCATGGAGGAAACATGTTTTCTTATCTTCAATTCGCAGGGCATCACCATCAATGCCCTTCGGCTTTGTTCCTAGTGATGCTGCAATGGTGCTGCCATGGTTTTCTGGTGTGCTTGTGGTGTCTTACCCTGACCACATGCAGGGAGGTTTAGGGGTCACAAGGCCCATCTGAGATGATACAGAACACAGGTACAAAAAACATCACCAAGACATACCAAGACTATTTTCACTTTGTTTCGGGCTCAAATCGGCCCCATAGAACGGGATAGTAGAGCCTACTCACACATACTCACACCATTTTGTGTGCGATGTGATGGGCATGCACGTCCATGTTCACTGTTGCCTGATGAGCTTTTTGGAGGATGCCTGATGCTGTGTACGCAGGAATACGCCTTCCACAGGGCACTGCATCGTCCACAGGTCGGCACCCTCGTGCGTCGGTGCTTGCTGGAATCTCTGCTCAGGAAGGTAGGTTGGCAGGGGTGCGAGCAAATATGCGACGGCTAGCCGCGCTAGCCTGTCTGCAGATGGGTGCTCTAGCCTTTCTGGATTCTGTGTTGTCACTTTTAAAGCTTGACAAACAGCCACGGCTTGCTCGATCGCCTTGACACCTGGCTTGGCTTGCCAAATGCAGCCGGTCACGTAGCAGGGATGCGTGCAGGTCACACCCTGGGCTGGTGAAAGCGGAAGAAGGTAGAGCGTGCGCCGAAAAGAGCTTGGTTGATGTTGCTCACTGCATCTCTTATCGTTTGGCCTCAACAGCCCAGCAGCTCCGGAGGAGTCCACTGCCAGGCATTCTGAGCGAGTGGAGCGAAGTGGTGATATGGCGCCAATCTTTGTGGGGCCCTTCATGCGGCAAGCCCTGCGGCTTTCACGACCCGAGCATTGCTAAGGGGGCCCTGCTTGCGCCCATGCTTGGACTGTGTGGTTGGACATTTACAGGTTGGACATTTACAGTATATGGATTGAAGCATACTATTCTTGAACCATACTGTCTTAACATGTTGAACCATATGATCAAGTGTATTACAGTAGTATTGGACTGTCCCAAATACGTGTTCATCATGTTAAGACAGTAAAGATAAGTGACTTTCGGTGTCCAGGACCCCACTCCACTTGTGAGTTGCCAGGTCACACCAAGTATGGCCGCTTTCAACACGTTTCAGGCGCGGTAAAAGCGCTACTTGTCCAGGTGTAAGGCTGTCAGCTTTTGGCTAGCAGGCACTGCCCCCAAATAGCATCAAAGTCAAAAACAATTGAACATACATGAAAATACCCATCCCACCCACACTCAGCCCATACAAAGATACAACACTTAACTTTGTTTGTCCAATACCACAAGCAAAAAAACATCCTCCGCTCCTGCTTGTGACCATCTCTCTTCACCACGTACATTTGAGCCTGAGCCTGACCATCCAGCCTACTGGTGTGGGGTGGCAGGTCCTTTGGCAACTGCTGTGGAGCCAACAAAGAAGTTGAGTGAATCTGCAAGACCGCAAGGGCATCATTCATAGCTCCCCGACCAGAAATGGAATATGAGTCATGAGTTGCTCAATAGGTTACTGTAACCGGTTCCTCACACGCTGTCCCGAGTCAACGCTAAACACAGCAACTTGTACAGTAAATACCCTCTCATCTGATGCGATAATGATGTTTCGGATGGCAAAGACATCAAGGACGAAAACATGGATTTGTCAGTCAGCAAAACGAGGTAGTGAAGGTATGGAGTATCGACATATGCGGCATAGAGCTGTTGTTGACGGGATTGGCGGCTGTAGTCAGTGCACTGCTAATGGTTCAAACACAAAAGACTTCTCAGAAACACCATCTAAACATATCTACCAGTACCATCCAAAGGTACCTAAACTTACGTACCTGTTTTTTTCTGCTCGAGATCTTGGATTTCTGATCATTTGGGAATTTGCGCTCGTTTCCAAAAAAAGTGCTCGAGACATGTTAACACCACACTGTATTTAGATAAACCACTCACTGAAGTCCGGTGCACCAATGCATACACCAGCACACACACACACTTTTCCTTCACCATTGACTTCGTCCAAGTCAGCCGGGGCCCAAATGCGAGAAGTACCTTTGGTACTTTAGGAGGCATCGGGACATTGTGCTCCAGGCAATTAGTCGTCCAGCATTCACTCGACGTACGATCCTGGCTGCCCTTCCTACAAAGTCTTCGTCACTCCAGCATCCCCAGCCTTAGGTGTGTTGGCAGGAGTTCTGGTTTGGGTGTTCATACCTCGATCATTGTGACAAGCAACATTGGGGATTGAGAATTTTGCCAACTCTTCCAGAGCTGCGGCAAAGAGAAATCTGAAGCTCCATATTCTTCCTCAACTTCAGCCACTAACGGATGGTACTGGAACACTCAAACAAATCTCCAGAACAGTGTGGAACAGTTTGGCTAAAGTGTCGGGATATGAGCATATAGATGCAGCTTTGGCCTGAGAAGGTACAAGTTCCAATTGCGCTGCGCGCACATGGTTGCCAAACCAGCATACCCTTCCTGAGGTTCAAAGATAAAAACACTTAAACTTCTTGTTGTGATATGAACTACAAGACACTTGGGAGTACAGGTACACTGCATTCAAAAGTCTGCAACATTGAAGCCATATCGGCAGATGACTTCTGCTTTAGCAACCTCGATCCAGACTCCTTCCTTCTGAAGCGTGGAGAAGAACCGATTTGCATTGCGGGTTGTCCATGTCATCAGCTCCAACAGGGTCCGGTCTCCAGGATCCTTGGGGCTGATTGAAATTTTAGGTGAAGCTCAAACAACTCTGTCAGAATAACTAGCTCAAGAACTCTCCAAACAGATGTGAAGACTTGAGCCCTGGTTCTACATCAGTTGGGGCCATTGCATTAAGCTCCCACTCCAGCCATTGGCACATGAGTTTCGTATCATGTGCACGCCCGTGGCCTTGAGGAAATGATTTCGACCTTGGAGGCCACCAGCTGGCAAAGGAAGGGGCAGGGGGCCAGGGAGGTAACAATCACACCCTACCCCTTACAGAACACATCCAGACAAAAAACACTTCAAAAGATACAGATCAAGAGTCGACTGGATTTTGAAGTTCTTTGCCTGAAAGGACGTCAATGACGATGATTTCTTAAATTCTGCACACCAATTGTCAAACCTCTCATACGCTTGGTCCAGTTTGGATTGAAGGCGGGTCCCAGTGAAAATGTTCATCCGGCAAAGGGCTATAAGGGAGCTTGCATAGAGGTCACCACCAAATCCCAAATGAAAGCAGTGCATAGGATCAGGCTTTATAGCCTCTGCAAAAGAAGACCCTGGAATTGACCGAAGGGGGCTATACTTGTCTGGCTTGAATGGTGAAGGAGAAAGCTGAGTCCACATGCGAAGTTCTCCAGCCGGCGACATATTCCACCATTCCTGGGCAATCATACATTCACATGTGCACATGAGCAGGAGAGCCAATCCCCAAAATCACACTATATATAGCTCACACAAAGAATCTAGCTTATGCTAAGCTCAGATGAAGGGACAACTGCTGGGCACAAATGGCACAGCCGAAGCGAACGGAAACCGGACTGGAGATGGTATGCCTTCCTGGCCCACACCCAATCACCCTTTGTACCGGTGAATCCTGCATAGAAGAGATGGGTAGCACCATCAACCTAGGCTTTGTTGCAGATGCATGTCAATTCTCATCCCTCGATACACTGAGCTACCTAAACCTTATTGTAGGCAAAGGGCATCAACTGAAACACCATCCTCAAAAGCAGCACAAAAGTCGTCTGCCAGGGCTTGATGGAGTCCATCAATGCTGGCATCATCTTTGGCGTACCACTGCGAAGGCAAGACGGTGTACAGTAGTCGGGTGGAAAAGGAATGCCTCACACACACAAACAGTTGAGACCCTGTTCATGGCCATTTGGCAATAACCATGCAACAAATATATCACACAATCCACCACAAAGGAATTGAGGGCAAGCTGCACTGAAGCATTCAGGCTTTCCACACCAGTGAAAGGGATCAACACTTGGTAGCTCAAGATCAGAACTGGAGCCCTTGAGAGTCCTCTTCCTTCATCTCCGTGTAGAGCTATTGGTATCGTTCGTTTTCGTCGGCTTGGGTCTTTTTGGTAGATTGGGTGTGAATCATCTACAAGCCGGAAGTTATCCCAAAACTCTTCCAGCATACCCATGTAGGCAGAGCCACCAATATCATGGCCACCCAAAAGGAATCTTGGAGATTTCTGGAGAATGGTTTTCATCCAATTGGTCAACAAAATGACTGGGTACTTCACCACAATCTCGCGGATAGAGCGTTTACGCCTGCCATGCTTTGTTCGCACCTTCTGACGAAGTGGAATTTCAGGAGAACTAATGGATACTGGAAAGGTCTTCACATCTCGAAAGATATACCTGCGGAAATCCCGGGCTGCATTCTTTCCAGTCTTCCCCGACTTTGTTAGCCGATAGCGGGCTATCTTGTTGATATTGGTGTCAACCACACCTGTCCAGGGTCCCAAAGGTGTTTTGCACAACAATTGAACTTAAATTTGTACAAGCTGTTGGCCCACCCAACCTAGCTTCTTGTTTCTTTTTGCAGTGACCCCAGCCAAACGTAGCACCCCATGCGCCGTGGCAACCTAGGTTCAAGACGAAGTATATATATATATCGAAAGCTGTAATAGCTTCATGACATGTTCCAGTTATATAGCTTTAATGATATCCATTTGAGTTTTGCAAGAAAGGCAGCTCCATTCTCCGCATCTTGAAGAAGAGCATCAACCAAGTCATCCGATGATTCATCCCCTGCGACATTCACCACTCCACCTCCACCAGACTGCAGCAACACCAGGCCTGGTTCTACGTGATGATCATCAGCTTCCTCATCGATATCCAGGCCTGCATTGCATCAGCAGCAAATGGAACAAAGGCAGTTCTCACACAGAAAACAAGCACTCCCAAATTGTTGCAACACACCGCAGTGCAAACGGGTGCAAAGCTATAGTGGAAGCACTTTTTGACCTGTACCCCCAGGCTTTTGGCACAAATGTATATGGCAACACATGTGCCAATTGACAAGACCCACGCAGCTGTCATTCCTGACAAACGCGATCCAAAAACTGGAAATGCTGCATCACTTCTTGACCTTTTTGGCCTTTTTCTTAGGTGATGCCTTTGCTTTGTTTTCCTTCCCTTTGGAAGTAGCGCTAGATCCCTTCACACTCGCCGACGAAGATTTGATGTTCCTGGGGCAGTTGGACCAGTATAGCAAATTTGCAATGCAAGAGTGACTTTAAAGTATAGTGCATGGATAATTGCCACATAAACTGAATGCTTTCAAGGTTCTTGCTGCGGGTGATGTAGTTGTTTAAGGTCACATCAGTCTTGGTGCAAGCTGCAAACAGGTTCATGATATTCTTCTTCTTCTCATCCAGACCCCTCGTCAGGGAGGAACAGTCAAAAGTGTTCAACCAATCTTCTTTTCGCTGGTAGACTCATGGAACCAAAAAAACAAGACTAGTGGATCAACCAACACAAGACGGACATTGAATTCTGCTGGCCGCCTTGTGTCATCCATGCTGAGGTAATCTGCCTGCTGCTCACTGAGAGCTGTGTACTTGGTGTTCAAAATCTTAACCAGCCCATTGATCTGGTCCGCAATCCTGGGCGAAGGAGACCAATCTTTCTTTGATATTCTATGTATATATAGTGAAACCTTTGAACCTAATTGTTCATGGTATAGTTTCATCTCGAGGTACTCAGTCGCACGGGGAATCTTCAGGCTCCGCAACTTCTCCTCAACACCCAAATGTAACCCTGTAATGACTGCATGCATATACACACATTACCAATACAGTAAATGTATTTTTACAACTTGTCCTGTTGGGCCGTCGCAGAATCTATCTTCTTTCCCAAGCAAGCTATGAAGCTTGGAAGCAAGGTGAATGGTGACTGGTTCTTCTGGAGAGTTGGGAAGACCAGCCCCAACCTAAGATAAAGACCAATGTTTTTATACACCATCAATGAACGTATGAGTCATGAGGTGCCACAACAAACTACAAGCAAGCAGTGTATCCTAGCAGCTTGCCCGACGAGGCAGCAGCAGTGGCCTGCTTGATCAGTGCCTCTTTGTGGTCTGGATCAGAAGAACGAGGCTTGGTCCCGAATTCCTCCTCCGGGTCAAGGTTGGTATCCAGAAGGATCCCATCAGGATCCTGCAGGTTGAGAGAGATGCAAGGCAGGTAGAAAAGCCCTGGCACAGCACCTTCATCAGTATACAAATGAATAGAGTTGGCCAGTCCTCCATTTCAGCATCCCCCATCATACGGTACTCTTCTCCTTTCTCATTCCTACTCGAGAAGCTTTCCTTCAAAACCAGTTTTGCTTCCTCCTCCTTGTGTACTGGATTTCTGCGGACTAGACCACGGGCTGCAGCCCATTCAAAAGACTCGTCGATCATTTGCCTAGCATCGGTTGACCAGTGCGCTGCATACCGGCTATTGTATACTGTATGTCATTATACCGAAATGGCAATAGAAAACTTGCACCTATTTTCATCCAAAAGTCTTTGTATAGTGTTCGACATCAGCCAAGTAGGCACGGGTTACCCACTGACCCTCCTTCCCCTCAGATTGAAGACGCTTGGCCCAGCGGGATACCTGCAACTCCAGCTGTTTCAAAGACCCATGCTCGCGAAGAAGCTGGCGTAGTTTCTCACCTATGCCCAGCCCCCAAGCAAACATCATAAGTCCACGCATGTTCAGATCGAGTATTCACACTTGCACATATTATGGGGTTTCCTATATACAAGTCAAAACACGGCCCTCATCAGTTTTGTAGAGCTCCATACTCTCCTTGGAAGCAGTGATCTTCTTCTTGGACGGGTTACAGTGGCGCCGAAGCCTGGGTTATTATGAAACTCTTGAAACTTAACAAATCGATCATATCCATACCCCACAGTTAATGAGTGCAATCTTGACATTTATACTTGCAAATCAGTGCAAATGAGGTTCATATGATAGTACTTGTCAAACTTGTCATCATCTTTCTTGACAGGCACCGGGGATGAACGGCGAGTTTCACCAGGGGAAAACCCCAAAGGAATCTCCTGAGAAAGCATGTGCTCCTTCCCACCTTCCTCACTCAGAGCCTTGGTTGGCGTTGCTGGTGCAGGTTTAGCCTCACCTGGCAAGATCTCATGGGATGTAGCTGGCTGAGTCTGAGAGAGACCGAGCTGGTTATCAGGGACCTCAGGCTCTGGGGCGTCAGGCAACGAATCTGGGATAACAATGGCATCACCAGACATGTTTGGTGTTTTGTTCAGCTCCTCCAACGGAACTGAGTCCACATGGGTGTCATTCAGCTCCTGGGATTCACAAAAGCTGGCTGCAAACTTTGTGTTTGGTTTCTCCTCAACATCCTCCACAGGCACTGCAGCCAAAGGGGTTGCTCTATGGCCAGCAACATACTCACCACTGCTTGATTCCAAGATCGGGGCACCTTATTCCCACAAAGATTGGTTGACCACACAAAAAACAATCTAGCACAACAGCATCACTACTTATCCACCAAACCACCTGGAACTGCCAAGGTTTGACCTCCATTGCCACCTCTGGCCGCTGCCAACTTTGCCTGTATGGCCGCGATCTTGGCACGTGACTCCTTATGCGTGGGACGAGAGCAACAAGTATTTGGGGTGGGGAAGCTGCAAGCATGAACGGTGCACCAAATAATTTAACCTAGTAACTGCAAGCTGTGAACTCAAGAGCTCTTTGGAAGTAGCCAGTTCTTTCGAACACATCATGGCACAACCCTCAACCAGCGTTCCACAGGACCAAACACGAAAGGACATCAGTCTTGATCAAGTCTTGATCTGAAACAATGCCAAAAACATCTATTAGCAAACATGAAACATGCATATTTCCAATCAAAGTGGGACGTTTTTTAAATTTGCGGCTTTTTGCGGGTTTTTGCGGGGATTTGCGCCCGTTTTGCACGAATTTGCGCTCGAGCAGTTTTCCACTTTGGGCTAAGAAACCCAAAAAAGGCTGCTAACACCGTCTAATTTGCATTCTGGGCATTAGGACCCAAGAAACTGGATGTGGGCAATCGAATTAGCCAATCGAGCTGTTGTACTCCACCCTTTGAGGCTCTGGTACCGTAACCTGAGTTGAATAGGCTAATGCAAAGTACACGTGAGGCAATTGTATAGACATATGACATTGCAAGTGTCAAACTGCTACTGAGCTGCAAGGGCAGTCAGCTCTTGGTCAAAGTCCCTCATTGTTTGAACCCATGAAGCTGGAATTGCCAGGTGCCTATTCTGGTGCAAATAATTCCAGACCTCATACAGGCAGCCATCAATCCATGGGTCACCCAGGGGGACCTGTTCAAACAGCTCCTTGTCAGTCAGGGACGTGTCCACTTCACCCCGGTGCCGCATATGACCTGGAAAGGCCCCACGCATTCTGAAGCATTCCAGAAGGCGCTTGGCAAATCCAGCTGGGTAGCTCCTGGCACGGGGCCCCCAAGCAACTCTAGAACCACTGGGAAATTAGCCAGTAGGCAAAGTTGCAATAAAGCACTGGGGCTTAGACGCTGAGAGTTTCAAATCAGATGTCCCAGTAAACTTGCGAACACCATCTTTGTTCACATAGCGACCTGATCAGGATAATTTTACAAAAGAATTCTGTTGTACACATGTTCCTCTAACAGCTCAGGTTCTAGCGAGTAGTTTGTAGCTGCGTGTGTTTTTCTTTGTACTCTTTGGTCAACGGGCCAGTGTATAGCCCAGAAATCCATGAGCCATTGGAGTACACCACTGTAGGCTTGCTTGTCAAACCTCCAAGTAGAAGCATCCAAAACCGTGTCTCAAATACCTTAGCCAGAAACATTTCATGGGAACTGGAGTCAAAACCATTTTGTTCAAAGGCACCACCAAACACTTTCAAAGGGGGCTAAGTCCCAGATCATGTACCGGCCTCGAGGTCCATTTCCACTCCTACTCCAACACGATCCTATTCAACGTGTCCTGTCCTAATGATGGTCGGGAAAGAGCAGTTGCAACCTTATGCAAATAAGGTACAAAGCACACCTGATTAGCGAAGTGCTCCCAACGAGGATGTTTCTTCAGCAGGGAGGCTCCCGGTTGCTCGAGTACAAAGTAGCAGTGTTTGGCCATGATCAACATGCAAAGCAACACAATCCTTATGCAAAAAAGAAGTTGCTCACAATAGTGGAAAGGAGCATACACACTCACTAATGCACACTAGGAGTCCGAGATATGGTTTGATTTCCATCCTTCACAAATGCCAGATGGAGGGCCCCCCATATGTTTACATAGGATCTCATGGACGTGGATCTTGCCGGCAACCCCCACGATCCACACTCTGGCCCCATTAAAGAGACTGATTCAGGATATTGACAAAGGATGGTCCACACAACCAACCTGAGCTGACATGATGCTGACGTGACATACATGAGACCTGTATAATACATGTCCCATGTTCCAGCATATGTCAGCCTTGCAAACGCAACCCTGGAACGCAAAGCCTGGGGCCGACAGAAAATCCATTGTTTTTGATCCAGGGCAGTACATATTGTCAATGGTGGCACAGCTGTAGCCCTCCGCAGTCCTGAGTGGATAGTGATCAAAACCCGGCCCTTGAGAACAACAACATTCTCTCATGTCATGCAAAGTTGTTTCAAACAAGAAACCATTCTTTGCTGGCAGCCGCTTGGCCAGCAAACAAGTCCAAAAACTGAAAACGGGGCTGAACTGGAGGGAGGTTTGTGGACCACATCACCAGCAAGGTGATCCCAATAAAGACCTAAGTGGGGCCAGAAAACCAACACAGCCTGGGCCCCATGAAATGGATTGAGTGTCCCACCTTTGGTGCATTGAGCTGCCGCAAGTTGAGCACTATCGATTCACAATCCATTGCCAGTCCCAGGGAGGCAGCTAAGAGCAAACAAAACAGCTAAGGGTATCAGCGGAATTGTGCAAAAACATTCCCTTGCAAATTCCTGCCGTTCATGAGTGAGGCCACTCGATCCACGCCTTCTGCACTGAGCGCTCGAATGGCCCAAGTCTCAGAAATGGGCATGGTGACCTCCAAGAAGGGAGCACGTTCAGAAAAGAATTAAACATTGATCAATCAGCTGGTGTGTGCATGTGTTTCTCAATTGTATCGATCGTAATGTTTTTTGTAAACAAAGTGCCGTGCAACGATCAACAATTGATCTGTTTTTTTGAGACCCCTTTGCCTTCGCGTGCTTCATGGCCTACAGACACGAAGGCTACTGTGCACTCCATGCCTTTGGCATCCACGTGAAACCCCCACAAACCCATGGCTAGCATTTCAGATAGCCAGTCACATCCACAAGGTCCCACCAGGAACCATGCACATAGATCTAGGTGGCCGCTGCATAGGCCTGAGCCCAATTCTGTATGTAACAAACTAAGGGGCCATGCATCCATGTGCACATATCAACCACCTTTGTCATGTGACCATGATCGAAACATATAATTAAGCTGGGCAACCGCTCGTCCAATCTTCTTCGCTTCATCCTCACTGTGCCCATTCTCCAGTGCCTCCTTCCTGGCTGCAACATAGGCCGAAGACTTTCGACTTCTCTCTGCATTCTTCTCTTTCTTCTTCTTCTCCTCCTCCTCAGTCATTTTGGCACGTTTGCCATTGGTTGCCTTTGTCTCAATCTTCTCATTCTGATCTTTCACTTTCTTTCCCTTTGGCTCCCGTTTGCAAGCCTGTGCTGAATCCTGCTTCAAGTCGCTGCCATGTTCATGGGTCTCATCACCCTGATTCTGATTCTTCTTTGCCCTTTTCCGCACAGGCTTTGGCTCCTCCTCCTCCTCCTCCTTCTTGACCATCGTCTTCCTTGCCTTCACTGCCTTTTCATCAGCCTCACCACCACGTTTCTTTCGAGCTTTCTCTCCATCATCCTGCTTCTTTGAATTGCTCTTGGGCTTGGTTGACTTCTGCTTGGGCTCCACAGAGGTCCTTCGGGGCTTGCGCTGCGCCGATCTTGGAGCCTTCTTTGCAGATTTCTTTGGGCTACATTCTTCCTCTTCGATGTTCGCCTCTTCCTCATCCTCTGTATAGTGCTGAGTCTCACTGTCAGACTCATCATCCTTTTTCTTCCCACGTCCTCCACCACGCCCATTCCCACGTCCTTTGCCACGCCCTTTTCCGCCTCCTCGTCCAGATCCTTTTGCTGAAGCTTTCTGGCTTTTCTTTTGATCTTGTGGGGTCACAGTCGGAAGACCATTCAGAATTGCTGGCTTGGGGTCTTCTGGCAAGACTTCTTCTTTCTTCTGCGTTGCCTTAACTGCTGTGCTGTCCTTCTTGGAGTCGAGAAGAGCCTTCAAAGCCTTCTGAGAGTCATTCTCACACTCTGCCAAAGCAGCCTCTGCTTCATCTTTGCTAAAGCCCATTCCCATGAACTCCCGCAGAACTGCTGGAGTCGCTGGAGTTGAAGGTCGAGAAGCACTAGGCTCAGCAATCTTTGGATTTGGCTCTGGCTGAGGTATCTTTGCCTCTTCTTTTGGTGGCTCCACTTTGGGAGCAGCTTCTTTTGCGTCAATGCCAGCATCAGCTGGGCTCACACCACCAAGCTGCAATGTCACCTCTCCACCTTTCATATCAGCGAACCGCTTTGGGGTACCAGGATCTGGTACCTGACTTTCTGCAAAGGCAGCCCCGCCATCCAGCACTCCATCATAGGGGACAGTGTCAAAGCCATCCAGGCCTTGGTGCAACGGTACTTATATTTGAGCACTAGCTAGAGCTGACTCAAGATGTGTGCCTGTGCAATTAAAGAAAACTGACATGGAGCCAAGCTACAATTCGAAGGGGCTGCAGAGCTAGAAGCTGGAATGGTCGAGTTCAAGTGCGAAGCCAAATCAGACAAAGATTTGGCCTTCTGCTCTAGCTGTTCGTTCTGCACCTCAAGCTGTTGTTGAATCAAAAGCTCCTCTAAGAGTTCCTGTTCAAGCTGTAGCCTCTCAAGTTCTTCCTCCATGACAGTAGTCTCAGGGACATGCTCCACCAAGAGCGGGAACTCCTGTTCTTGAGGGATCTCTGAAAATGAGATTGCAGTCGGTGAGATGCTGGCTCTGATTCGCTTTCCCCCCTGACAAACAAGTTGCCAGACTGCATCAGGCTCCTTCCGGCAAATCTTCCCAATCTCTTCCACCCAGCAAGTAGAGAAGGACACCACCATCTCTGAAGCAACAAAACTGGTCTCAAGTTTCTTCACTTCCTCACCCACACTCTTGCGGCAAGGGACACCTTTAATAGAGTCAAGGTTGCCAGACCGTAGCCCACATGAAGCACATTCCCACAAGTCATTGTTATGGGAGATGTTGTGGTGGTAGGCCTTCTCAGTACTTGGCAGCTCCAAGGAGTGTCCTTACAAGGATTGCCAAACATGAATGTCAATTTAAGTGATACTGAACAATATTCAGCATATTTGCAAACAAAGGGTCCCCTGGGGGAAGGATGTGGGGTTGCTGTCACCGATGATGGACCAGACGGAGCGCCAGCCTTGTCCTCAATTGAGGTGATATGGAGTTGACCGAGCTTGTCAGCAGCTTCATTCACAGCATCTTCACCTGTGGCTGGGTTTGCACAGGGAACTAGGAAAACAGACATAGGACAATAGAAGGGGCATGAAGGGAGTGTTCTCGACAAATGGAGTGCCAACATCAAACCCTCATTCCAGGATGAAACGTGTTTGAAGTTTTGGGATCCAAGTCCCAAACAGCTTTCAATTCCATGTTGAGCCCCACACACACACCCAAGAAGATTTCTTGCCCGCCTGATGAAGGTTTGAGTGCTTCAGGTTCCACCTCTTCATCCTAGGCATTTCAATCCAAGAGGGATAAGTACCGGGCATGGGCATTGGGCATGGCTACTTACTTTGCACTTGTCAACATTGAACATCCAGCCAGGGTACTGTTTGTACATCACTGCTTTCTTCACCCTCCGCATCATCTTCAGAGTCTGAAGGCTCTCTCAAACCTCAACTGTTCCCATCAAAAAGGTTGCTGGGGGAGAGGGCGCACGCACACACACACAAACACACCGAAATCATAAGCCTTAAATGCTGTGTAGTCACGTGGGTCAGCTGGCAACGGGATACCAGCCTGCTGATAGATTTCACGCATGCCGGGTTCTCTGGGGTAGTGTCCACGCTTGGCAGCACGATTGAAGATCGTCACTAGCCGCTTGATCTTCCACGCTTCCAAACGGACTTTGCTACCTAGGCCAAATTCAACCAGGCAAGTCCTTTGTACATCAGCTCCCTAACCCCCTACCCCCCAAAAAAGACCAGCATTTATTGATCAAGTTGAGGAACCAGAAACATGGGGCTTCCCACGTGGCCGGGCAAAGGTCAAGAACATCTCCACTTGTTCATGGATACCATCAATCGTGACACGTGTTCCAAGATGTTCCAAAAGGGGCCCAATCACATCAGAATTGGTCACCACATCTGCGCGCTCGATGTATTGCTTTGGTAGTGCAACCAGACTTCCCTGACTTCCCCGATTCATCAGCACATCAGATTTTGACCATTCCTCCACCACCGGCGAAGACAGAGGCATGGCGTACAAGAGGCACTTCCTTTTCAGGAAACCCTGATCCATAAGCTTGGTCCACCACCTAGAGTCCTACAGGCCAAATGCCTGCAGAATTACAGAGGTCAAGGTTTTGAAACGACTGTAAATGTCTTGCAGAGCACCTTCCCCAGACCGTGCCTAAAAGAAAATTCCTGACATGGCCATCATTCTGTACCTGCCCAGCCAAGCCAAGGCAAGCAGATCTTGGCCCGCACACACAAAACATGCACTGGCCCTCTTGGACTGCAGACTTCCCAGGGCGCACGTGGCCAGGCACCAATATCCCTGACCCATAAAGCCAAATGGCTGTTCAGATGGCTCAAAACCATCTCAAAACATCTCAAAACCAAAAAGTGCTCGAATTAAGAAAAACTGCTCGAGACGTGGATTTGCGGCACCAATCAGAGTTTTGGTAGCGATTCATGCATTTTGGTATCGAAAGGCTGGGGGGGCAGGAATTTACATAGCGTTAGAAGGCCCTGGTAAACATGTTTCTTTTGCTACATCCGGCAATGCCGCTGGCACACTCCCCTGACCCCAAAGCGAGCTACCATGGCCTCCATCTGCGCTTTCCGGAACACCGCACCGTGCCTAATGGGAACCAGCAAGCTGCGGCGAGAAGCATCGAAGGAACGTCGAGCGGTGTCCTGGTGATGGGAGTTTCGAGCCATTCAACAAACGTCAAAACCAAGCTCCACCGAGCCAAACGACTTCGGGGTTGAAGATGACCATAGATGACCCCTTTAAGAATCGATTCAAGAGAGACCAGCGAGACCAAGCATGTGACTGTGCTACATTCCATAGATCAGCACACGGCCAACTCTCAGTGACGGCAAGATGGACAAATTGGAATGGACATGAATGGACCACCATTGAGCACCACTTTGACCACGATGTCAAAGCGAAACTGGCACGACATCTAGTATAGAAAGAGACATAATATTAATAAATAAAATAAACTATATATTATATATATATGTAGATTGTCCTTAATGTTAGGTAATCTGTATCTTGTTAATTGGTCCGTGTAGCACACATGTTCCACCCAAGCTCTCAAAGATTTTCCTTTAGCTCCGGAGCTCTAGACTAGACACAAGACACTTGGTTGGGCAGCGTTTTTGTTGAGTCTCTACCTCAAAGCTGCCAAACCAAGCATGCCAGCTAGATGCCCAGCCAATGAGAACTAATGTAGTCTGGAATCCTGGAAGATCAAATTCCTCTCTGATGATGATTATGTGATAATTCCTACTATGTTGCAATAATGAGAGGTATCATCCATGTAACTATTTTTTTGCATGAAAATACATACTAATGCATGACGTATCATGACATAATATCTTCGTTACTTTGACAGCCTCATGTTGCAATGCGCTGCCGGCCGTCACTCATCTGCTGGCTGATCCTCCCAAGCGGCCACGTAGAAGCTCAAAGTCTTGCTCAAGCGTAGAAGCCAGAAAGACTCAAAAGCCCATCCCTGTACATCCCTGTTTGCATTCATAACAGTCGACATAGAATTGCCATTTCCTTTCGAACACCAGAACACCAGCAGAAACAGAAACAGGACTCAGGACACCGAAAACATAGGTATCTCTGAAAGGTTTTACAGAGATGTCCAAGTGACTCACAGCAAAATGACAATGCGAGATGCACCTTGCAGGTATATGCAATGATACTTGCAATGATATATTAGATCATGACATAACTGGCGCAAATTGTGGGAAGTACTCCCTCGCCTTTGGGAAGAGGCGCCCACGCGGGGTGCTCTCTCTAGTTGTCTCCCACAGAAATGCTCCGAGTATGTCAAGTCTGCTCCTGCTGCACCAAGGAAAATAATTAACGATCGAGCTTTGGCTATGTCCCACCTCAAAACATCCAGTGAACATAATTAAGGCATTAAGGTGACCAAATCAGAGTCCTTGTCTCGGCGGTGCCTGGGCTGCAGCATGTCCCAACACCACCAATTCAGGTGGTGTCAAACATGTTCAACCTCATCCAACATATGGCTGTCTGGGCACCAGGAGACCTTTGTTGACCCGGTTCCGGGTCGGCGACTCGGCGACTCGCCTCCGACCGATTCCGAGGCTCAACCAAGGACTGACGGCCTCCTGGCGCCTGGCAGCTTCCTACATGTTGAGGCTCCACATTAGACTGGGAACCTTGGAGCTCTCCAAAACGTCCAAAATCCATGCACTGAGACACCTGATTCTGACCGAGGAGCCGAAGGACGGGTCCATGCATGTTTGAGGCGTCCGTATCAACTCGCACCGTTTGGGGAATAAATGCTTGAGGCCTCTCAACCAGTGGATGTTCATCTGGTTTGGTATTGCAGAACCCTCTCAGGAACCACATCGGAAGGGAGTCGGCCCAAAGACTTCGCAAAGCCCTTGCCAGTTCGGAGGAATTGATCTATGGGAAACTTAAGGTGCTAGACTCAGTCTATCACTTCCTGTTGTGCCAAAAAGTCATGATTCAATCCTTCGTCAATAAACCTCGCTTTCAAGCCGCTGAAATGAACGTTTCATCGAAATTCCCTCTACAGTACCAATCCCACAGCTCCGCCCAGCTCAAGGAGCCAAATGTCTCTGGAGCTGTTCCAAGGCCAGGACTTCCTCTTGTCACGGACTTCGCCGTTGATCATTTCTTCAAACCAGGCCTCCGATTTTGGGTCGTGTGACTCTTTTTTCAGCAAGGTTTGCCCAGGTGGTGTCTTCAAACAAGAAACTCAGGTCATCAGTAGACTTCAGTCATCCACTCACTATCCTGTTTTTTTTTTGGAGGCATCGTGAGAAGGCCTCGTGCTGGGGTCTAGATGTTGCAGATCCAAACAATCACCATGCCCTGAAGCTCAAGTCATCTACGGCTTCCACCAACAAGTCATGACCGTTGCTTCATGACCGTTGGCTCGAAAGTCCAAGCGAACAAAACTCCAAGTGGCTGTGGCGAACCACCCGAAATGACTGATTTGGAACCCCCTCAGGTCCCCTCGTTCTTCGCTTCCGATGCTTCCTCATCGGAAGCATAGGGAACTTCGGAACCAGCCTCTCTCTATATATATATATATACTGATACATGCATGCATGTGAACAAAGACAACGTCCCTTATTTGTCCTCACTCTTGCAAACAGTTACCACATAGCTCCAATCCTGAAGGATGGTTCATGGTGCTTTTCCGAGCGAAAGCACAGTTGGACACATGGAGCGCAGTTGGACAGTCTTGGACGTCAAACATGGCGCGCATCGGGTCGCCGCCATGAAAAACGGGTAGCCGCAATAGTCAGAACTCACAGGTTTCGATATTTCTCCCCATTCCTGGACCTATGGGATCAAGTTAAACCTATGAGTCTCCAGCAGTGGCTTCGCTCACATCTCAATCCACCCAGCGAACTCCCGCAGCGAAACTCCCCGCGCGAACTCGCGCCGCTTGATCACGGTTGCGATCCACCAGTCGGCGGACCACCCAGCCCTGCTCCTCAACGACTGCTCGTCTTTGGGGTGAGTGAGTGGGCTGGGGTTTCCCCCCGAAAATCAAACCAATCACAATCCTTCAATCAAACACGGAGCCAAAACTAAGTTGAACAACATTTATACGGACTTATACAACATTGGATTGCTGGGAGTTGCTGGGGCTGATCGCTCGATTCTGAATGCACACCCATGAGGCCGACACACAAGAGTCGATGTTCAATTGAAGAGAGAGAGAGAGAGAGCGACAGAAAGAGAGAGAGAGAGCAATCAAACTCCATTACGAATGGTTTCAACCTGTCATTTCACTTTTAAACACCCAGGGCCCAGGGTGTAGGCCCTATGCCGCCTATGGTGATGCCAGCTGATGGCACAGAGTTGCAGTTGCCAGCTGAGGTCTCGAAAGGATGATACCCATTTCGAAGAGCTTTGAAGTGGATCAAGTCTAATTGTAAGTGCTGAGAGATGCTGAGAGTATCCTTTGTGATACGATCGAAATGCATCCTGTGTTTTTGGGTCTGTCGTTTCCCCTCTCACTACATAGACAAAACATCTCTTCTTCCAAACATGTTTTGGTGAGCTTACTCGCCTCTCCGTCCCAACTCCGCAAGAAAGCGGATCTTATATAGCTCAGTGGAATCTGTTCACACATCTCATGCCATCATATGCCATCCCTCAACACCTCATCAACCATCCCTCTTCCCATCCTCCCCAGCTCTCACCCCAGCCCAGGCTTTCAAAACCAACCACCGTGTCGCACTGGGGCCCCGGCACCGCCAGCTGTATCTAGCTTCACTGGCATGACCATGTAACCACGGACCTTCTTGGAGTGGCCCACCTGAGTGACCATCTCACCATTCTCCAAGTACCTGCAACCGAGAAGGAGCACGCGGCTCTATCACCGTGATGGCAGTCCTCCATGCGTTGGGACCCGGTGGGTGGCGGTGGGGCTGTGTTGTCTCGTGAGTTAGCCCAAGTATCTATAGTGAATGGAACCCATGTGAGGTTCACGCGATCTGGGGATGGTTCGTATCAAATGTATCAAGTCCACATACATTCTGATGAGAAGGTGTCCGGGGTGGCTTCTGAGAAAACATCATGTGGAGTTGAACAAAACTGCTTGTGATTTCCTGGATGTCCATCTTCAATCATCTTCAATCCCCTGCCTGATCAGCATGTCACTAGGCGGGACCTTGCCAGAGCCCGGAGCGTACCTCGCTCTGTGCGCCAGTGTAAAGCAAAGCAGAAGACAAACCATGCATGTCTCAGACTCAGAAGTGCTGACTTTTGACCGCTCAGCAAGTCCTAGCAGTGTCTTCCGCTTCCTAAGACCTAAGATAGGCTGAATGGCGACTTTCATGCTGCAATTCCTTGCAAGGCACAATCAGTTGGGATCTTTTTCCACTGGCAAAAGACACTTGATCGTGTCGCCGTCTTCAAGCGCTGCCATGACTGGCATGCTGCGGTAGTCTGTTGATCAACCTTTAAGATGCATTTCCCGTTTGCTTTACTTCCGACTCCCACAATTGATTAGGAATTCACGCTGCACGCATCTTATAAAGACTTCCAAGAAACAAAATCAAGCAACCCTTCTTTCGAACCTTCAGGCAGTGCCAGAAGTACCCAGCCAAACTTCTGCACCCCAGTTCTGACTTCCACACCTACCGAGCTCGTTGTGTTCCAAGCCAATCTCAGCTGCTCACGGCTCGCATTTTCTCACCAGCGGAAGATGATCCGCGTCCTGGCAACGGGATGTGACAACAACCATCACTGACTGACTGACTGACTGACTGACCGACTGACTGACTGACTGACTGACTTCACAAAATCGATCTCAAACAGGGAACCAATAGATGATCAATAGGTGACATGGGTCTATGTTCTCGAGATATGGGTGACTTATGGGTGACGTCGTTGCCCCCCTCACCCGATCGTTGTGCCCCGTGTTGCCCCGCTCTGCGAGATGCGCGAGCCCAGAACGACCCAAAACGCGTTAGGTGCCAAAAACGGAGCCACAAATTGACGTGAATCGAAGGGAGAAGATGGACCCAAAAAGGAAAAACAACACAGATTTGTTCTTGTACCACAGGAAGAAGTTCGCAATTGATCTAAACGGTGATGTGAGGCGGTGTTGGATTTTCTGACGAACTTGGGCAGGACTATACCAGTTAGTGTATGAAGCTGAATTCAAGCCTTTTCGACTTACGTCTGGATTGATATGTTCTTCGTTGTTACTTATAGGTCATCTATTAAAGCATGGCCAAGCTGTCCGTGTGCCCCACCAGTTTCTGACGTGTCTGGGTGTGGAAGGCTGTTCATCGCAATCCAAGTCGGTCCAAACCCTCCGGTAGGGGTCGCGTTTTCTCGTTTGAGACCGGTGACATGGCTTGGAACAGTGGGATGTGGACATATCCAAGAGTTTGCCCAAAAAGCATGGACTCGACGCCTTTGATCTTTGTTCCACACATTGTCGGGTTATCCTTTTTTCTTTTTTCGAGTCGAGACAACATGATGGTTCAGGGAGCTGCTCTGGGAGTAGCATGAACTATTGCTTCCGAGTTTGGGGATATAAATGCCAATCATCTGCCAATCCACAGATCTAAAAAGAATCATCCATGCAGAACGCAAGAACTCTGATAGTGTCGCTCTAAGGGTCAAGTGGTGCTTTCCACCTTGTCCACCCCTCCCGGTCGGAGCGCTCAGCTGCCTGCAGGTTTGCCACACGCCAGATTCGGTTGGTTTCCCAGTTGCCTCGAAGAATTTCGGGCACCGCGAATGGATCGGATCGGCTGCGGGATGGCCAAACGAAGAGATTGGAGGATGACCAAACGCCGAACCCAAAAACACGATGCTGAAATACTTCCAATGAATAATCACCGGATCCGGCACTTGAGAAGGGTAACCCTTCTCAGATGCCAGATCCAGTGATTATTGGAAGTATGTCAGCATCCTGGAGTTCTTTTGGCCCATCGCTGCCACCCATGACCGCTGCCTTCGTCTTGCTCCTGCTCCTGGGAAGCCCGAAAGTTCCAGGTTTCAAGATGGTCGTTTCTGTGGAAGATGTGGAAGGACATGGAAGGATCTATCATCTTTTATGTACTTCAGTTCTTGTTGCGTCATGACTTGCACACGGTTCCGTACCACGACATACCAGAGTCTTTGTCGGGTATACCCCAGACATATCGCATCGCTTGGGTGTCACCCCAGCGGAGCGAGTTCCGGAGACGCTCCGCCGCCAACGCAGTGAAGTCCGCTCCGGAAGCGGCGACGGTGTCTTCGTTCCGAGTGGGACGGGCTGTTGTCCACCGGATCTCCAGGATGGTCTTTGAAGCCAAAGTATGGTTCATTAAGCATATGAGCTAGGATGGTTTCAACATGAAACTATCATTAGTTTACATACCAACATGAGCATATGGTTCATTAAGCATCATGTAAGCTGAAATTGCATATAATCAGCGTGCTCTTCCCGTGATAGTTAAGTTGTGCACACCCTTCCCATCCTTTCGGCTTAAAGGCAAACACCATGAATGACAAGACCAATCTACATAGCCGAAAACAAAAACACACCCAATTCTTTCACCAACCCACCTCCTCTTACACACTCTTACACTTAAAATTATACCCAACCTGGCACTCGCTCCTGTTCCTACCTACCTGTTCCTACCCCTCGTCGCGCGCTGTTCCGACGCGGAGTCCAACCGCACGGCTCCCGCATCTTGGGCTTGGCGTCGGAGTCCACGGGTTCGAAGAACTTGGGACCACCCTGGCGCGGGCGACGAAGAACGAAGAACGTACGTCCGACGTTTGGTTCGGGTGGGAGGGAGAGGAAACCAGGACGTCTTGCGAAAAGTGCAGAAAATGGATGGGAAATCCATGGACCATCACCCCGGATTGCTCTTGTCCTCTTGGAATTGGAAACAAAACACAATTTTGGGTTTCTAAAGCGTCCAGATCATACGTGATCGCATACGGGGACTTCCACCATCAGCCCTGGATTCATTTTGCAATGAGCAAAAGTCCCTAGTCAGGGGTCGCAAAAATACAGAAGTGGATGGCATTGATGGCGGATGGTTGTTATATGTTGTTATAATAACCAAGTCCCTCAAGATCTCTCCCTCAGGCATTTTGCCCACCCAAAGGGCATTTCATTTGCGGTTGATAAAAGGAATACCAACACATGTGAACATATGGTTTTGGTGAAAGAGGCATTTAACCCTAAGGGGATTGGGATAGAATCAAGAAATCACAGCATGTCACTATGTCACAGTATATAGATGCATACCATGGCCTTTGTGCCAGGAGTTTGAGCTTCCAATCCAGTGGGAACTGTGCTTTTCGCAGCATCTGCTCAACCAGCCTGATGGGTCGCATCACAGGTCACCCAACCTTGGAATCCAAGTCACAAGGATTCGCTGGAAAATCCACCGGTCGGATGCGACCAGCGACTTGAACGATTGGATGTCCATCGCCCGGCCAACACGGGTGCGGGTGTTCTGATTGCTGAAATGCTTCTCGGAGCATCCGAGCAGTGGAGGTCCTGACGTGGGAACCCTTGGTCCGGTCTTCAAACGCTTGGAGCCCGAGACATCCCTACACTCGACTCATCCTGACGCTAAAACTTAGGCCCGTGGACTTCCTCACTCCCGGCACAGTGGGTCTAATACGTTTCCTGAGGCTCTCTGATCTCTCTGGAGAGAGTAGTTCCTTCTGCACCGTGAGACAATAGCCTTCCTTGCCTTCGTGGTCTTCTTTCCAGGACTCCTTTTAGGGGCAGAAAAAGGCTGCCAGTGGCTTGCGTAGTCCAACTTCGTCATTCAGGCTTACTGAAATATAGTCGTCGAATAGCTAGCCGCCACATCTGGTCACCAATGGAATGTGACCGAACTGCGTGTGTGGATCGATTCTGTCCTGCGTACATACTCACGTTCAGCTCCAACGGGTGGGATTCGGAAGGTCATGTCCAGGTCCTTGGGGTCCATCCGTCGGCGTCTTCCTCTGCACCAGCTGATTGATTGGCCCTCCAGGCAACCAAAGGCAAAAACCTTGCTTCCTTAAGTAGGGCTGGCCTCGGATACTGCTGGGAAAACTCATTGACTGGTCCTTGGAGGAACCAATGTGAAGGCTAAATGGAGGGTGTGTGGAGAAAGGGGGTCAGCAAAAATCGCCTGTACGAAGTTAGTGCATCAAAAATACCTTCCACGAAGCTCTGCGAAGGTTTCTGGGATTTCGTTGCAGTCAGTTCTGCTACTGGCCCACCATTCCACGAACTGTCCACGAATAGCCTTGGGTTCTACGAATGTCCCGCGCCTTCCACGATGTTAGTAGAATAGGTTTTTGCAAAACCCTTTCTGTGCACTACCCTTCCGTTTGCCTCTGACAATGGGATTCGAACTGCCTGCCTTGGCTGGAGACGAACAGAACTGCCTGCCTTGACCAGGTATTTGTTCATGCCATCCACATGAAGAATCAAGAAAAGAAAACGAGCTTGACATGCAGTTCTCCCTCAGTCTCTCCCCGTGTTTCTCCAACCAAACGCACCGCGTTTCTCAGACTTGATTAGTGCGACTTGTCCCATCATTTCTTGGCTTCCCGTACCCATCCGGGCTTTGGCTGGATGCGAGCTGCTCGAAGGCTGAAGCATGCAGCGGAGCTTGACATGACTCTTCTCACAGAACCGGCTCTTCTCACACAAACTATAAAACATGTCAGGAACAATCGATAGAGGTTCCATGAGGTTCCAATCATTTCGAAAATCCTTCCATCCACGGCCTTTTCAAAAAAAACAAACTCCATCCGTCACCATCCGTCACCATCCGTCCCGTCACTCCACCTTCGGCCTTTCACGAGCGAAGACGCCGTTTCCGCCGCCGCGGTGTTGGTGCCTGGCGTCCCTCGAAGGTGATCGGCATCCGAACGATGCCGTCCTGGCGCGAGAGTTGGTCGCGCGGGGCGGGTCGATGATGAGGTCCGAAGGGTGAGCGAAAGGCCAAAGGAAGGCCCAAAACGGTTTGGGTTTGAAAAATGGGGAGTTCCTCTCACATCAAGATGTGTGTACAGACCCTTTTGGATGTTGCTCAGGTGCTCTTACAGAGGTGGTCTCTTGTTGTTCGGAATCAAGGATTGAAACTGTGAGCTGGGTTGAACAAAAGACCACCGGCTGTATTTTAAGAGGGTGTTTTTCTTTTCTATCCAGGGTGCAAGTAAGAGAAGCATGAAAAGCAAGCTTCTCATCATGAGACTCTTCCAGTTGCAGTTGCTCATCCAACTGCCGCGCCACATGCTCGGTACTCACGTGCCACCCCAGAGGAAGGTTCTGGCCTCGGTGATTTCCAGTGGGGATGCCTGGCGAGGATGAAGCAAATGCTCCAAAAGCCGTGACCAGCGAGTTGGGTGGATGAACTTCACTCTTGTTGTCAATGTGAAAAAAACCTTAGAATCTAATGTGATCTATATAATCAGGATGTCTTGAGTGATTGATGGTGACAAAAAACAACAAACATGTTGAATAGTAATATATAGTATATAAACTCTGTTGGTTCATGTTTGATGACATTCGGAAACCACAGGCGAGCAACAGTTAGGGGCAAGGATGCAACTCCAGTGGTGTGGAGGTTGATCCTCCCGCGAGCTTCAACTGTTCAGCCGTGTTTGACATGCAGGCTGTCCCATGCCTGCTCGACGACGGTGCCGCAAGTCAAGACCGCCACCTTAGAGAAACGGATGGAAATTTGTCACAGTCAGGTTCTGGCAGCTAGTTTCTTCTTATTAGGCTTGGTTTCTTGACAAACACATGCAGTTCAAGGATTCTAAACAGTACATTGAATATAATATCCATTTGCGTGTGTGCGTGTGTGTGTGTGTGTGTCAGAATAAAGGGACGTCTCAAATGCAAACGACCAAGCAAATCAAGCCATTGGTTAGGGCAAACCCGTCATTTTGAAAAAGACCAACTGAAAAGGGTTAGTTTGCAGGTTTGGCTGAAGCTCCTAGAGTTTAGGAGTTGCTGAGTTACTTCAGCTGCTGTGATAGATTAAAAGAGGGGTCATACAATTATACTACAAACAGCTGTGAACGAAACTACCGGGACTTGATAATCTCATACTTGAAAACACTTGCAGTTTGCCGTGGGAGGTATACAAACATCAAACGGATTGAACAAAAAGTACAATCACCTGATCAGGATCCCTTCTCTAATATGTGCTCCTGATCTGGATCTTGCATATTTAATTGCATCGATTTACAAACTGTTGTGTATCCCAGGGTGCTCTTATGTGCTCTTGTTTACAAATTGATTACATAATTCCTTCAGCAGCACCACAGTGGGAGTTGCTCCTGTCAACGAGCCAACAGTCCGGCCTCTTCGCTATCCAAGGACACCTTGGCGCGGAACCGCGATCGGGGGCCGCCGGGGCGGGTGCAAGGTGATCCGACGGCGCACCCCACAGTGAACTCAGGCTAAGAGGAGCACTGAGCACCCAAGCATCGGAGCTTGCGTTGCCCATCTCTCAAAATAGAAAGCCAAAAGAACGAACTTCTAGAGTGAGTAGACAAGCTTCCCAAATCCAAGGGGATTCTGACGTCCAGCGCTCTTTTTGGAGGCTTCGATCTCCGAAAATCCCTCAAGGACTTCCACTAGCAAGGGTTACCAAAAACGCGAGTTTGGGGAGTGCATCAAACATGACTAATCCCAGCCACCAAGTTCGGTTATTATGACTTGTCCAATGAGCGTGACAGCCCAATGATCCTTTGGCCTCCTGGCTTTGAGACAGACTTTGAAGGTCAAGAAAAATAAGAAAAATAGCTCAACATAGTTTGTTGAAGGAAAGAACCACTCGGTAGACTCGGTATGGATGTCCAACTGGATCAGAATCCATCGCCCAAAATTTTGAGGTGTTTTGAGGCTTCAAAAACTCAGCGTGACAGACGAGACGCGGCATACAAGGCGTGACTCTCTTCACGAGTCACCGGCCAATGGCTGAGTCACTGGCCTCTCCTTTAAGATACCACATCCGTCACACCCCCCCGGACTGTGGGGTCGACGATGGGGTCTCTTGTTAGCCCTTGGTACTTCCCTGGTGTCTGAGACTTGGCAAACACACAATACACTGAACATGCTAGCCCTTCGATCCGCTCATTTCTCACGCTCCGTCGCGACACAAAAAAAGAGAACCGTGTTTGTGGTTATCCCTTGAATTGAGTGGGTGACCCTCCTACTGTCACCTATCAGTAGTCTTTCACAGGGCGTCCCCTTGATTATATCTATATAGTCACTACAGCAAGATCTGAAACACGTGGCGCCCGCAGCTGCCCTGAGGCCCTGCGGCCCCTGAGCTCTCCGACCCCCTTCCGCACCACGATATCACCCTTCGAAGAGCCACTCGAGAAGACCACCTGACCCCACGCGCGCGCGGTGTGGGGCCGTTGGACTTGTCTGAGACGAGGGTGACGTCCTCGTGGTGTGGCTGATTCAGGCGTCCTCTCAATGTGATGCCACATATAGTCACAGGAAGTTGAATGCATTTGAGCCAGTTTGGAAATGTTTGGAATCTTAGCAGTGTGGCATGGCTGTGACGCGTTCTTCGCAAGATTGAGGGCGTTGGAAGCATGAGACCTGGGTGTCTCTAACCCGCCTTGGCCGCCTGTGAAGGATGTGCAAGGGAGACGTTGTTCAGGTTTTCACAGGTACATGGCATGATGCATTTAATGGACGTCCATGTTTTCATGTTTGTCAAGCTTAAGCCGCATTATGTCACTCAGTCCATAACCTGAATGCAGTTGATTGCTCCTTGTGCCATGAACTCAAAAACATATACGTAACTTTCTCAAACTTCTTCAAGGTATTCTCTTCGAAGCTAGCAGGCCATCGACTGGGGTACGTGAAGACCTCGGTCCATGGTACGGTCTGAGAGCCCTGAGACCGTGGTCATTCTTTAGGTTTGTGCCTTCAACGTTGCCAGAAGAGAGATGTTTTTGTGCATGGCAACTGGTTCAACTGCAACCCAACGTTGCAACAGGGCCAAAACAAACACCCAACACGACTGGGCACCAATAACATCAAATAACTATAACTATCCCCCCAAAAAAAGGCGTACAAGTGTTTTTTGTTCATGTTGGGATATTCGCCTATATATGTTTGAAACCATGGACCATATCCATCTTTCACCTGAGCAAAATACACCGGGTGTCCTGTGGTCCGAACACCTGCTCAACCAATCATCACGAGATCCATGCAGGGAAGATCGGCCTGCCATTTGGGTGATTTCACCTGTCGATGAGACACGTGGATGGATGCTGGTGGGTCTGGTGGGGTACTGAGCTTAAGCCTGTTGTGCTGTCGATGGAGCAAGCTGAGCAAACCCTCAAGTATCTGCCACCAATAGTATGTAATTGGTGCAATATTTGCATGCTGAACTTCACATTTGCTGGTTTAGAACAAAAACCTCAACTTGTTCATGAACACCTCACAAATAATGATGTTTCTGGCCTGCTCTCCAACTATGCGATTCATCTCACAGGGTTTGCGAGTCACTCCCACCCCCGTGGGAGGTTGCTGTCAAACACTGTCCGTTTTTTCCGCACTTGCAAGGACAAACCATAATCATCCTTGTCCTAATGTTGTTCATCCTCCAGTGTCGACTCTGGTGCAAACTCCAAAGCTATAGGTGACTAGGTGACCTGGCCACGTCGTTAGCTACCGGTTAAGCACCAGGTCCAAAAAAGATCATACACATGCCCCGTCGTTGACCAGTGCTACTACGAACTAACAGCACCTTGCATGGATCACGGCTCTCCGTGCCTTCTCCAGGTAGAGCGGCCCGCCCACCGCTTGCGCGTCCACCGTAGCCCATCCACGTGGCTGGGCGAAGGAGCCCGAAATCGAACCAATGGATACCAGGCAAAGGGAGGTGGAGCGAACCCCCCAAAAAATGGATCAAATCAAACCCAAGTTGAACTTGATTTGTGTGATACCGGCAGGCCACCTGTAGATGCTTGATGATTTGGCCCTGGGTTTCCCAAAACAATTGGACAAACCAATTACCTGAAACACGCTTCTTCGGACTACTTTGTTCAAGCCCACCGCATGGCCGCCAACGCCTCGGTAGAGGTTAAAACCACCGCAGGTTCTACGGGTATGTTTGACACATGCCCCGGCTGCTAACTGAGCTTGAAAGACTCCCAAACACCGGATACGCACCCGGACCTGCAACTGCAATCTTGATCTGGCTCTTCAGAGAACACAAGAAGTCTCATCTCATACGCGGTTGCAAATGCAAAGGAAGACTCGTCGTGTTGGAAAACGACCTGAGAGACTTTCCCCGTTTGTGTCACCGCAAAGGCCCAATGATTTCGACAGAATACATGGTTCCTTGATTTGGCTAGCTCTGGGTAAACAAACGCAATGCTCTTCATCAGGTGCTAAAGAATAATCCTCAAGATTCTGGTCCAACTCAAATGAAGGGACTTGGAGGACTGATGTCTTCTTTCATCGTTCGAAGAAAAACAAATGAGCAATGGTGTTTGCACGGCTCACCCCAGACATGTTGACAAAGGGACCTCCAGATTGCAGCAATGCCCTTCTTTACGCTAGCATGGATTTGCAGAACCAGGAAATGACACAAATATTCACCAGAATCAGGGATTCGTCCATAGGGAAAGTAAACACAAAACCAAGCATGCCTAAGCAAAACCAAAGCTTGCTGGCACACCGGCCCTCGGGTCGCTGAGCCATGCGCCTGCACGGGCATGCGTTGGAGCCCTTGAGCAGGCCCGGTCACGAAGACCTGCACCGTTCGTATGCCGTCGGCGATCGCACGCGTCCCATGGCGTCGAAGGTATCTATCAGTTTGGCTGATCCATCTCCAAAGAGAAGATAGGACTGGACTGGTACTGTGGATTGCTCACTGACCATGGAACAAACATGAACAAACACACCCTCAGCATGATCTCTCCAGTATCTATGTTCCAAGGACGCTACTAAGGGCTCCTGGCATCGCTACTAGGAGCATTCTTACCATACTAGTTTCACCAAAGACTCCAAAACATCCGTGTGAGATTTTCCATCAGGCCTCCAAAGGCCCAGCCTGCAGCACCTCAGGTCGTCCGGGCGCTGCGAAGCGCCGGCTCTCAGAGTCGCAGGATGAAGAGATCAGCCAACGAGGATCTCTCTGGGGATATTATTTGAAACATGATCTCTTCAGTATGATCCCTCATTTCGTTATTTCATGATGTTCTGTATTGCTTCTTTATTTATGTAGTATGTATTTATGTTGTTTATGTCTTTAATCAGCAGTACTGGTGTCTGTGTCCTTTTCTGGTTGGGTTGGTCCATTTGTTGGGGTGTCAACGCCTGCAACGTTCAACACCTTCCAATGTTGGCTTTGGGTGCAAAGGGGAGATGCCCAAACGGGCTGCACCAAGATCAACATTTGGCACTACATTATGTCCCTTAACTATATGTGGTGGTGGAGTTCTTGCCCCGACAGCAGGATCCATTGGTCCACGGGTACAAGCCAAGCCACTACGAGCTCACCCATTTCCAATGTTTTAAGGATGTTCTGAAAGGTCAAAGACCTTTTTTGCGTCAACTAAAGAAAGCTGCCCGCAGGCAGCTCTGAAGTCCTTTGGAGACCTACTCATGTGTTTATCCTCCACGGGCGAGGTAATTGATCCAAGTACCGAGATGTCCTGAGTAAGTAGTGTGCAACGAGGGGATGTTCAACAATCTCAAGAAAGTATCTCTCTTGTCCAGAATGCCTCGGATCTCTTCTGCGTGTAAACACGCCGCATCCGGCTCGTGACGGCGATCTTCCAAGGCCCTGGCATACTGGCCATAAGGCACCTTGTGGAAGGCCCACTTGGGCGAGCTTGCGGGACATCCCAGTGTGTTAGATGAGGAAACGGAGAGGTGAAACAAATGTCGACAAATCGGAAAATCCGGGCAACGACGTCCCGAGTTGGAAACTCTCAAGACTGTGATCTGGCATGAGTTCCATGTCACGTCGTCAACTACTCATACATACTTGCGCCAAAAAACACTGGCGGCCTTCAGCTCATCAGATCCATACGGTCCAGCCAATTCAGGCAAGGCATCGGAGTGCAGGCTCATCAAACGCTGAAACAAACCTGGAACAGTTCTTACATTGGATAGAGGCAGAAGAGTAAAAGCCTCACGCATGCAACAAAGAAAACATGGAACACACGGAACACATGGTGCAAGTTCACCAAGACCCATCAAACAAACCACTCAAAGATTGCCAAACCTGCAAAGTACACAAAGGCATCAGGTGTTGGTCATCTACGCCGTGGTTCCGATGTCCACCCGTTGAATTCTGATCTGAGTTCCCTGACACGGGATATCTCCTCGCTGGTCAGGAGGAACTGCTCTCGGATAATGACCTCCCCTCTATCTCTGCAGCAATTCCTGCAGGAACTCCAGCGCAATACGAAGCTCGGAGGAGTTGGAACACAGTACAGTACAGCCTGAAAAGAAGGCGGAGAGAGTGGAACACAAAGCGCTTGGAGATCCGTTTTGGAGGTGGTGTCTTGGAGTTTATGTTTTTGTTTGTTTGCTTTGGTGAGTCCAAGTGGCTCCAGTGTGTGTGTGTGTAGGAAATACAAAACGTACTTTGGCAGACACCACCACCACCACCACCAACAACAACAACAACGTACAAACAAAAACTGGAGCCCCGTTAACACATGTTCTTACTTTCTATGATTCTGCCAACAACAAACAGCAGCAGCTGCTATACTATAGCAACAGTTTCAGCTTCAGGTTCCGTCAACATCAAGTTTGAACTGTAGTGCTGCAAAAAAGAATGGATTATGAATCATTTTGTTTGATTCTATGTGTTAAACAAAAAATAAACACACCCGCATAGCGTCCCGCTCTCTATTTTTTTCGGGGGGACGGATGCACCAGAAAGACCCTCTGCCTTGAATGATGTGGTTGTTCCCTGCCCGACCGCCCCGGTCCGCGTCGGTCGTCCTCCACCAGGTCCCTCGTTGGGATCTCGGCACGATCTCGGTCCGGCCCATCTCGGGGATGAACCTCCAGTCGAGAAGAGTTGAGGGAGGAGGAAAGAGGAGGAACACAGGCTGAACGCCAAGTAAGCAGGACACAAGTTTGGGATCAACACAAATCACCTACAGAAGGCTCCATTTTTGGGCGAGTAGTAGACACCCTTGAGGGACACCCTTGAGGGTCCTGGAAAGGGCTGAAAGTTAGCAAATGATTTGGCTTGCTGCCTCATTTCTTGTGTTTGGGTGCCAAATCGGTGGCTGAATCCCTGCAATCCAGGACGACCCAAACCACTATGAGCAGGTACAAAATGCTTGAGCTAGGTGGATGGTCAAACAAACAACCTGAGAAGGTACTCGGATATACTAGGGTCATCCACCCATGCATTTATGCATTCATGTATATTATATATATGTACATTATCACGTATTTTGTGTATATTATATAGGATCCCACATGACATGTTAAGCATCCACATATATGGTGCGTCATATGGTACCAAGATCCCAGATGGGGTCCCGTTCGAGACAGAAAATTATACCAGCATAGACCCCAAACAGCTTCAAAACGATTCGCTTAGACCAATATTAGTCAAAAATCGATATCGATTTCTTGGCACGCCCTCTGCTTCATCAATGAATTTTTGTCGGCATTGACATCGCTATTTGTTCGGCCACACTCCTCTCCAGTAAACCGGGCCACAGAGACCAGCCACAGAGTTCAGGGGCGCGGCCAAGACAAGGACAAGAGGAGGACAGCCAAGACAAGGACAAGAGGAGGACAAGGCCTGGACACAGAGCCCAACCACAGAGGACAAGAGGAGGACAAGGCCTGGACACAGAGCCCAGCCACAGAGCCCAGCCACAGAGGACAAGGCCTGGACACAGAGCCCGAGCCACAGAGTTCAGGGGCGCGGCCAGTGAGTGTGGCCAGCTCTTTTTTTCTAAGATAGAACCCCAACAGTAAACTGTTTAGGGGAAAAACAATAAATACATAAATGACAATCATAAACACAACCCATGCAGAGGTGAGAACCGATGGGCTTATAGTGAAGTGCTTCTACCCCCCCGGTGATTTGATGGCCTTTGTTTTGCTCAGCCGATAGTTCCAGCAATATTATCCACTATTTGGTTTTTGGGATATGGAACATTGGGGAACAACTGGAGTGAAGCAAGAACTTCTGCGATGTGCAAAGCTGCTTCGATTGGGGGAATCAGCCGGAAGGACTCAGTGAAGGTTCCCTCGAGTCTGGAGACTTGAGACCTAAAATGATTCCAAATGGGCGTGGAAGACCCTCCAAACATGCCCCCAGACACGCCCGCCTGCCCGCATTGGAGGCCTGCCCCTTCTGCGCACCCTTGCCCTTTCGGTCACGCCCTGGCGATCAAAGTTTGGACATCTGCCTGAAATGGATCACATTCCTATGCTTGCAGTGCGTTGGTGAAATAGAGCTGAAGGATGCACAGACTACAGTCAGCAGTCCAAAGTCCCCCAAAACCTGTAGATTCTTGCTGAGGTTTTCCAGGACCCAAATGTGTGGATGAACAACCTTGCATTCGAGTGTTTCCATGTGTTTGCTAAATCGATGCCACGTTGGACAAAAAAGGATGTGTCCCCTAGACTTCCAGTGCTTTGAACGGCCTCGGACTCTATCCCGATCTGCATCATCATCTGGCCTCATCGCAAAACACACAGCATAATTGATCCAACCCATGCCTGGAAAGACAATGAAAGAAGTGAACCATTCAAAGCCATCATATGAGTAATTAGATCATGTGCCGACACGACCGGAAGACTGAACCACTTGAGACGCAGAAAAAAGACTAAAAGTGAAACCGGACCCACCAACTTGCCAGGGTAGGCCGCTAGAGGTAGGTAGCTAGTAGTAACAAGTGCCACGCTACTAGGAACAAGTGCCTTACTAGTAGTAACAAGGTAAGCTACTAAGAAACATCACTGCACCTTTGGGGCCGGACCTGTTGGGCCTCTTTGGACCCTAAGGTCCGGTCCCTCCAGCGTCACGCGGCAGCCACGTTCACGCGCCGGCTCGGCCCCCCGGGCGCGGCGGAAGGACCTCGAGGCGAGACGGGAGCTGTGGCGGATGGTCCGCAATGGAGCTTGAAGAGTAGCCTGCTATCTGTCAGCTCATGATTGTTGATGAGCTACTTTGATATCATCGTTTTTGAAGCTGAAGGTTCAAGGAACGTCCGCCAAGGCTGTGTCTCCCTCAATGCAAAGGCAAAGGTGTTCTACTTCTTGTTGTAGCTCAGGTATGGAAAAGACATCCTTTGTGTGTGTCTTTATGTAGTCGATCGGGAGTGTGATTCAAAGAATAGCCGGGACCACCAAGTTCCACCTGCCAAGCACCATGTTCCACACCAGTTGATTGGAACTTTGATGACCATAGCAACGGCACTTACCCGGCTGAAAACTCACATGGACCCCTGAAAACCACTCGTTTTGTAGAGGAAAACAGTCCGACTCAGGGGTGCCATTCTCAGGGTCCATATTAGTTTTGGGGAGTGTACAAACAAAATGAAATCTATCAGTGTCGAGCTCTACTCTACTGTGAGATACATGCTACAACCAAACCCCATCCTTTTGAGGTGGTACAATGATCTCTGATCGAAAGGCCGCTTTCCCGAACACGCATTCGGCTCATTCGGCTCCACATGATCATGATACATACATCCTGACAATCAAAAAACGTTCACAACATCCACATCCACATTCCAAGCCGGTATCCATCTTGCAGTTCGTGGTGTGGGATGGTGTGGATGTTTTTCTTGAGCTGACTCGAGGGTCAAAGAGTGACGTTGGGGCCACCGTCGTCTCCGTCCTCCGACGCCCAAACGCCCAAACCACCGCACGCTTCCGGAACGGAACGGGCCCGGTTGGTTGGTTGGTTCTCGAGTGTCCGGGCAGATCAGGAACTTCAGGTTCGCCACCTCAATGGGCTTCTCGATGGGCATCATCACCTGCGGTTCGTTCTCAGCTAAGAGGTGGGCTGAAATGGTGGTGCGGTTCGGAGAAGAGGCGTGTTGAAACCAGGGCAACCTTCAAGAGCACTATATCGCTCTTCGTAAGCCGGAAAGCTTATTGTGAAATAGATAGACAACGATAGACATATATATATATATATATATAAGGAGATGGAGGGACTGAACATAAGACTTTGAACCTGAATCTCTTGCCTTCCCCTGCCTTTGCAGGAGTGATGAGGAGTTCAGGGTGCAGGATCGTCACGAGCAGGTCTTAAACACAAGTAAAGCTTGCGGTAAATGATCTTGAGGGACGACATCTATATCTATGAATGATCTTGGGCCCTAAGCCCTAGTCTTTATTAGCCGGACTCCTATCGATTTCTGGCACTTCTCCTCCGTTGGTACAAGGTGGTACAATGCTGGTGCTGGTGCTGGTCGGGCTTCTGAATCGTGGAAGCGCCATTTTCCCTCTGTGTCGTCTTGAGTGTATAGTTTTGTGCGTCGACCTGCGCACTCTTTTGGGGTTTTCATGCATCTTGCGCCCAGTGGGACGCAAATGCCGTTCGCGCGTTTCACTCGTGGATCGTGCGCAATGAGTGGGTGTACAAGGTGGTACAATATGGGACCTGTTCTTGCACAAAAAAGCACATCCAACAGCCCCCCCAAAAAAACATCTGAAATGAAGTCATGCTGAAAAATATGGTTATTGGATGTAGTCCACCTCAAAAACCATCCAAACACCTATCTTCCACCCCTCCCTTCTTCGCCAAAACAGGGTCGCACTTCCCACCTGACGAACCTCCAGCATCCAGGCACGGCCGTACCTGTACCAAGCAAACATGTCATGTCGATGGATGTAATGATGTTTTATTCCGGTACTTTTTGATGCGAGGCCAATCCTTTTTGAACATGGGATGCGATGGATCAACATTGAAAAGAACAACACGCAACAGATGTTGAATTAACCCCAAGCAAAACGACCATGTTCATCCTTCCCACTTTTTAAACAGTATCCAAAAAGACTCGGTTGGACACTCAATGGTTTGCTCTGAACCGCCCGTGACGGGCTCTGAACCTCCACTCGCCCGGTCAGAAGCTCGGTCCATCGGCCCATCGCGTGTTCATCGGCTTTGCGTCGGGCCGGCGGCTCCGGCCGTGGAGCACTGTTGCTCATCCAGGTTGAAGATCCCGGTGTCAAAGGGTGTGTCATCCTGCAAACAAAGGCATTTTTTCAAGGGTTTGTCAAGGTCTAACAGAAGTCTAACAGAGTCTAATTAACGGTCAGTGTGTGTTTTTCGTTCCACTTTTGGACCAACCTCACAAGGTATGACAATTCCTGGCAAAGCAATGGACAACGTCCGCAACATGAGTCATAAGTGTGTGCTGACCCGTGGTCAATGACCCTTCGTAGGAGTATTGAAGCACTGTGAATTTGGGCCGGCTCGACTCACATCACCACAGGCTGGCAGACTGACCAAGCATCTCTCAAGCATCTCTTAAAGCGAACGTCCGTCGAAGGAACATCCTTTGTACGCTTTTGCATACCCATCATGGGCCAACGGCCAAGGGAGGAAGCGATAATCCAGTCAAGGGGAAACATGCAGGAAGATCAGGACTTATAGTCATCCTTGGGTGATCTGGGTGGGTGCTACCTCTATGTTCTTTTTTTAAAGTAAGCAGTCCCTGCCGTGGTCTCTCACTCAGCCCATCATACGATTGATACCCTCGACTCCAGCTGCGAATGTGGCAAGTCTCAACTGCTCCTCATTCTCGTGGGCATCCTCAGTAAATAGAACGAGACTCTGACAGTTGAAATTAGGGGTGTGAGCTCAACCCCGAAACTTCATTCCCCCCAAGAAAGCGATGTCTATCATCTGATTTGATGGATCTTGATGGTGTTTCATGGAAGACGATAATGACTCATGACCTCGTTTTCCATTTGTTTTCCATGGGTCCCTTTAGGGCTTTTAGAGTTCTCTTGCTCATGCCTTCCAAAAGAAAGAGCTGTCCTCCTATGGAATTGTGATAGCTTGGAAACAAAAAACAAGTAGAACTCCATGGCGGTCCTCTTGACTATATTGTGACCCTGAAACTGTCCACCAACACCAAGAGCTTCTACCAAGGCCTCGCGTCGCCTCTGGGCTGGTTCCTTTGAGAACAAGAGACATTTTTGGGGCCTATGATAATGATATCCTCCTAACTGAGTGACCTCTATTTTGCATCACCCAGAAGCCAACAAATGGTATTCTCCTTTCAAAGAGGAGGTCAAATGGGCTCTAAGCTACTATACATATTATATACTCCAGAAAGACCTCAGAGACTCAGCCGCGTAGCTGCTATAGCTTCCCGCTTCCCCCATCCGAAGTGGAGTTTCGCTGGTTTTGTTGAATGGCTTGTACCTGGTGTACTTCAGTTGCTTGTGCTCGACCAAAGTTTGACAGAGTTCTACAACTCTTCAGACACATGAGCAGCAGGAACCTTTCTACGATGTGATGAAACGTAAGCTTCTTCAAAAAAACGTCCGACCATGGGTGCGACCCTTCAGAGAGGGTCGGCTTTCTTGGTCGGAACAATTTCACTGAAAAACCATGACGTGGCATCAAGGGCCGCACCCTTTCATCGTTGCCGTCGTCCTCATAGTCCATGCCGCCTGGCCACTTCAAATACTTCAACCGAATGAGATGCATCAAAGGACTAGGACACCAAAACAGCCCAAACCGCGGCCCACAGCTCTAGAGTTGATGTAATTACAGTAGCTGCTTCTCCGATCTTGTTTGTCAGTGTCCTTGGCTCTCTTGGATACCACTCCGAACAGTCTCTCCCAAGGCGGGTTTCGGACCTCCGGCAGTGCCGCGTTGGATTCGGGATCCCACGCGGCTGGCGGCCACGCTGAGAGCCCAAGAGTTGGTCAAATAGGATCTGAACTGATGTATATATATATATACTTTTTCACAGCTTAGAGCTGGATTCACAGCTAGACGTTCTGGTGCATTCTTGAAAACACCTATTTTGCCCATAGGGAGTAGCTTCGACGTATCACAAGAGAGAGTTGAATGATGTATGCATCAAGCAGGCCAAACTGGATTAGGCCGATGCGACTTTTCTTTTGTCCGATCCTACGTATCTTGGACAACGCCAATAGCAGGTGCCGGTCTCGTCTCAAATGGTGCGAGGAAGCGATTTGGTGAAAATGGCGGCAGCGCCGAGCGAAAATTCGGGGAAGGCAGGGCCTCCCGTCACCACCACTAGACAAGCCCCATGGCATGTTCAAGCGGCGATGGAATATATAGTGTACACTTTGAAAGCGATATCGTTCCTTGATACTTAGGAACACTCTTGAAACACAACTGCGTCAACGTGTAGTCCGGCATGTTTGGCCCTAGCAACTTAAGTTTTAAACGAAAGCCCAAAAGACCTTGGAGACGCGAATATCAAGAAATAACTTCACAAAGGCTACAGAAAATACCTCAAATATGTTGAAATTCTGAAGGTCTCTGTTGGTGGTCTTTTGAACTGTTTCCCCATCCGTTGCTTTCAAAGGCCCAAGATGTTTCTCACTTCTTTGCCAAGAACTGCCAAGTTGGGATGACCTGAGTCGCAGCGCGGGAGAGCACCTAGCGCCTAGCGCGGTGCGCTCAGCCGCTCGGCCGGTCGCCGGTCGACCCAAACAGACGAGTCTGAGCGGAGTGGAGGGGTGACCTTCTCTTAGTTGGATATCGGATATCCTACATATAGCCACAAAAGCCCTATTTTGTGAGGTTGGTTGGAGGGTAGAGTGAAGAAGCCAAAGACCAAAACCTCCAACTCGATTCGCCTGCGCGTGTTGTGCACCGCGCCGATGCCGTAGGACGGTCCAAGAGGCGGAGTCAGGGTTCAGGGACACTGAGTCGATGCCCTGTGGCAGGCAGTGGATGACGACCCCAAAACTCACCCCTCTCTTCATGGCTTTACACCCTCCAAGGTTCGGCTGTTCGGAGACCCCAAGAGATGATTCTCTTCCTTCTCAGGTGGTCAATGGTCCGGGGTCCCCCCAAATGTCTCACACCCCACTCCGACTTCTTTAGGGAAAACACGTGTCAACTGCCAGACCTGCTCCATGAGCCACTTTGCCAGGTCCGGATGGTCTGAGGGTCCCTGTCCGCAAATGCCCACGTACCTCAGCTGCGCGAAGCAACGTGCGGCGTGCGTTGCGGGTAGGAAGTTGGTCTTGCGAGTGACGCGAATGGGTGAAAAAGGATTCTTCTCAATGGCCACGACACCTGTCAAACAAGTGGGTTACATGATGTTGTATGACTGCACAACTAGCTTTATACTCTAGCTAATATAGTCTGATGCATAAAAAAGTAATATACGTACGTAATATATATATATATATATACATATAGAGAGAGAGAGAGATGTATAGAGAGAGAGAGATGAAACCACACATTCAACCCGTCATGATGCACACGTGATGACTTGTCGGCTCCATACAACACGGGCTGCGAAGCGCCGCGCTCGGAGCGCGCGGTGCTGAGAGGAGCGCGGGTCCCCTCGATGCGACGATGCCGTTGGGGCTGACTGAGTTCGATCTCATGGGTCGTTGGCCAACATCCACCCTTAAACAAAACAAATAAACAACACCACCCAGCACACCCAGCAGTATCCCAAGATCCAGGAATCATTGACCTAAAACATCCACCATGCAGGAATCATCTCTGCCCGGTGCTTTCATCAAGGCACTTGCCCTTCTTCTTGGCTGCCTTGATCAAGGTCTCCAAACCCTTCATCACCGCAGGGTTTCGCTCATCGAAGTATTGGGCCACTAGGCCTCGAAAACGGCGGTGTTCTGCAAGAGTTCAGGATATCTTCGATGAGCTCAAAGTCCTCCTTTTTCATTTGGAGGTATGGGGTATCTTGTGCACAATCTACTCATCTATCGATTGGGTCTATTCGAGAACATTCAATATTGTGCATGTAGGTTCTCTCTCCACTTTGTTCGAGAAAGTTGAACATAGTTGAACCAAACCCTGAAACATTCCTTCGCACTGGCCTCAATCAGCCTCACCCTTTGGAAGCCACCTACTTGACCCCCACTGTTCTAGAGGAACCAGAAACACAAAAAAAAACACACACCGGAGTCCTGGAGAAGAAGAACAGCACATCAAACTCTAAAATATATGGCTGGGTGTTGGACCTGTTGGCTGGGTATTGGACCTGTTGGCTGGGTGTTGGATCTGTTGGCTGGGTGATTCTCCTATCCGTTTTCAGGTTCCAAAGAACGTCTTCCAAGCTATGAGTGTTTATCACTTACTCTCCGCACCTGAGTCACGGTCCAAGCCCAAGGTGAGCTGAGTGAGATCATTGCTGCCAATGGAGAAGCCGTCCTTGGGGATGTGAGGACAAGCAGTAAATCCCATGGTCAACCCTGAAACATCTTCGAATTCGATGGAACATCGGTTCTGTCCTTCCAGGGTACCCATCCTGGGCCCATCCGTGGTCACTTTCGAAGAAAGTCCGGATGGAGCCTTAAGCCTTATTCCTTACATCTCTGTAAACGTTTTTGGGGTTGCGGAGTGCGTGGAAGGTGGCAAGTTGTACTAACACAGTGCTCTGCACCAGTGCTCCTTCCAGCTGGTAGGATTGCCTTTGTAGTGAAATCTCAGCATTGGCTACCACACCCTCTATGTACAGCCGGCAGCAAGCCACTGCAGGATGTTCACCTGTTAAATTAGGATTCTTTACTAATAGCTTCCAACCTACCAGCAATGGCCTCCAACCCAATAGCAATGGCCTCCAACCCAATAGCAATGGCCTCCAACCCAACAGCAATGGCCTCGAACCCAATAGCGATGGCCTCCAACCTACTAGCGATGGCCTCCACCTGAGAAAGCTTGGACTTCTCAGCTGAAAACACAATAACACATGCAGTGTATTGCCATCGGAGTGGGTCAAAACTTCGATGTTGAGCCCGCACTTCAGGTGCACCGACAAAGACATGGTTTCAAACGGTTTCGGGTTTGTGGTCTGATGGGGATGATCTTGCTATGTTGATATGTGTTGATCCTCATTGAGTTTTTCTGAAACAAAGTACACAAAGATTCCAACACATCCATCTTGTTCAAGCTGCAAAGTACTCCAGAAACTCTTCGGCCAAGAAGACATTGCTTGGCAGTTCAGCCATCATATTCACCTGGCTGGTGAATTAAGGCCGGTTTTTCAATCAAATTCAGGTAGCTCTGCACTCAGTCACCCTATAAAGAGCAAGGTCCTTATAGACTTTCTCCTCCAGGTACGCTTGCAACATGACCATTGAGTAACCGAAGAAGCCATCATTGATGGTGAACCCCCAATATCTGAACACCCAAACGAATCGTGCCTTCAAGCCGTCCTCACCTCGTTTCAAGCCATTCTTCTCCTCAGCGACCCGGCGGTCGAAAATAGTGGAACGGCGCTCAAAAAGATGGTCCGATCTTGACTCTCTGTTCGATGTATCTACTGTAGTTGTCACCTATCGTTTTGGAGACTCCAAACCTCAAAGGAAAAGCAAAGTTCACATGGTCTCCCTGCACTGCAGGTCGATCTAAAAACCCTGAGATGAACAACATCCCAGAAGATGGTCCGGTGGGACAGCCGGTGGGTCAAGCTTTGCAAACAATCCTTAAAAGGCCTTGTGGTTTGGAAGGACTACGTCAAGAGCCTTGTGGGTAGCCCATCATTCTACCTGGTCGCATTGGAGCAATCTTAGAGAGCATCATACAGCTCTGGTCCTGCTTTTTAGGCGGGTTGGATGAGAAAAACTGCGAAGTGGGGTTGCTCCGGGACTTCCATTAGGTCCATTGGTCATAACCAGCTTCTGGTCAGCTGAACAATATTGGTTTATGCTTCAAAAGACTGCCAGGAAGGCCGCTTCCAAACCCAGTGTGTTTGTTAGTTGCATTAGGGTATCCGAAAGCCAGCAAAAAATGCCTAGAACCTCACCATCCTTCTGCAGGGAAGGGCACGTGAAAGGAATTGAAACGATGTCAGTGTTGGAAAGAATACCTTTCTAAACCAATGAGCCAGGAGGAAGCGGAGTCTTGGGTTCCCACCAAAAACTTGCATGAAACCGCCCCTTTGGCCCTTACTCCCCATGTCTGCTCGCTGGTTCTGATCTTTGTCCCATCGGTCTCTGGAGATCCTGCCGAAACGCCAAGACTTCGTTCACGTCTTTGGCCATGTCCAAGGTTCGCACAAAGGGGATCCTCAGAAAGGGTCCAACAAAAACAGAGCAAGGTCCAGTCTGGATCACTCCTCCAACAGGCCTGCAAGGATGCACTTCCAAAGAAACCGGTAGAAGTGTGGTCCAAACTCCATCAACCATGCATTTTGCCCAAGTTATGAGCCCCCATCAAACCGGATGCTAAAAACAGAAAGCTCGGCCAAGATCCATCTGATGTGTTGAATGGGATGCCCAATCCTATTTAAGAGGGCTCTCCCTGCCAATCCCCTGGTAGGTGGGAAAAATTGGAGGTCTTGTTGGCGCAACACGTTTAACACAAGGAAGGGCAGATTTTGCTTCCTGTTCTCGTTTTGACCGCATCGATGAAGGTCTCATGGAGGGTCATCTAGTGACTCCGGTTTCGATCCCAACTCTCCAAGGATCATAATCTCGACATTCTTCAGACCCATCTCTCCTCGCACCATCTTCACGGCCTCAAAAAAATAAAACAGGACTTACCCGGTTCCTTCTAGGGAAGGAGACATAAAATGATGGCACAGAAGGAAGCAGCGCAAACCGCTGATCCTGTGCACGTTGTCGCCATTATGCTTGATTACAGTGAAGCACATGCTTGGTAGTTCATGCAAACAAACCAAAAAGTGCAGAATCCAGATGCAAATCCACACGAGCTTCCTCAACAAGTCCTTCAACAAGTTTCTGCTTCCAGAGTCACTGCAGCCAACCTAAACAATATTGGACATCAGCACAAGTCCTCAAACACATATCACATATTATATATAGTAGTGGTGCTCAAATAAATAGAAACACTGTCCAATGATGCCCAATGTGCTTTACGGGATGCACACCTTTTTTACACCTCCACATTCTACAGCAGCCATTTAGGGGCGGCACACGGACATTCACATTGTTTTGCAACTTCCAACGCTCAAAATATCATGATTGAAAAGTCTGGCGGAAGATGGTTCAACAACGACGCCCAAAGGGATACACGCTATGTCCCAAACACTTTTGGATGCATATTCTGGAGATGATGTCTCATACACTTTAGGGTCCATACCCTTCCTTTACCATGTCCGTGCCCAAAGAGCCTCCAACTCCATGGCGAAGCACTCCTCGAAGAAGGGGTCCGTGTAACGGCCACAACCGCGGAAGCCGATCATGGGGTTCTCCTGGAGTTCGGACGCTTTCGGCTGATTCAGTGGATGATTTACGGTTGGGGGCTGGGTGTTCCGCAAAGGAGCATCCGAAAGGGAAAGGCTGAGCCGGCGTTGCAACAGCTATCCACACATTAAACTCATGTGCTTTCCTCTGCGGAGCGAACAGTGCCACAATGATCAAGGGTCCACCAAAAGTGTGTTCCTGACAAGGCCCGGGACTTGACATGCCCTCATTCGTTACATTACAGTACATGTTACCCAGGCCCAGGTGATGGTAGACTTGGCACAAGCCTTTTAATGGACGCATTCATGTTCATCTTTGTCTTGTTCGGCTAAAATTTGGAAGCATCCCGAGGTCCAGTAGATCTTCGGACGGGGGGTTTCAAAGCTTACAACTGTAGACGACTTGGAGCATGTATCTCATCAGTTTCTCCACATGTACATACCACAGTACCCCGCTTAATCTTGGGTACCACTGGAGCCAGTTAACCATCAGGAGCAGTGGATTCCAGCCGTGTTGGTTCCAGTTGGTTCTCTCCTCATCAGGCTCGTACTGCTCACCGCCGATGAGACTCTTGTACCTCAGTGTCCCATGATACGCAGCGAAGATCATGTCGCAGCAGGAGCCAGCAGAAGGTGGCCATGGTGGGAGCTCAGCAGGAGTGCTGGTGACAAACAGTGCCGAAGGGTGACGGGTGACAAGCTCAGCAAACTTCCCTTAAAAGCAAACTTCACGTATAGCTCCAGGCTTCTTTTCATCAATGGTCAGTATATAGTGCCCTCCCTGTCCAGGAACTTTATAGCAGAACTCTGGTTTCACCTAGCGATTGCGAAGTGAAAGTCGCCTTTTGTCTCCCTTCTTGTCTCCCTTGTTGTCCCCCGTCTTGATGGTCATTGTGTCCGCCTTGTCTTCCTTCTTTCGTTTACATTTGCCTCCTCTCTCCCCCGCTCGCTTGCAACCCTTCACATTTGTCTCCCAGCTGCTCTGCCCTGCAGTCCTTTACATTTGTCTCCCAGCTCTGGGCTGCGTGTCGCTTGCAATCCTTTACATTGTCATTGTCTCCCTGTGTCTACATTTGTCTCCCAGCTCTGGGCTTGCAATCCTTTACATTTGTCTCGCAGCGCTGGGCTGCTGTGTCCGCCTCTACCTTGCAATCCTTAATTTTACATGTGTCTCCCAGCTCTGACTGCTGTGTCCGCCTCTGCCTTGCAATCCTTTACATGTGTCCTCGCAAGCCTTTGCATCTCCCAGCTCTGGACGTCGCAAGCTCTAGTTGCAGAGTGTTCCGATATTGAAAAACACAAACTGTTTGGGGTCTACGGTGGTGTCATTTTTTGGAGGATGCGCTTGGGGGTGTGTTGTATTCATCCAAAGTTGCTTTGTAGATGATTAAAGCAGTTGTTGTGTAACCACCACAGTGGATTTGTCCATGATTGTCCCAATCATCTGACTGGCTTCAATTCTTGATGTTCCATCACTTGGCCATCTCTTCTCAACCTCCAGCAGTACCAATGGTCTGACTGCAAACCCGAACTGGTTGACCAGGTGGCTCATTGGATTTGAAGTCAGAGAGTCGCACGATGATCCTCTTGGGATACACAGAGGCGGCCAAGGTGGCGACGCCCTCGGCGATCTTCTTCACGTAGAAATCCTCTTCAGCAACAGGAAACGTGATGAGTGAGGGCCACTGTTCGAACAGCCGCTATGATGACAACCGTTGTGGGTTACGAAGGTGTGGACAAGAATTTGATAATTAGTTTCTGGCAAAAATATTGTGATAATTTGTGATATGATTCAATGATGTTATATGAATCCAACACCTATAGCTAATTATACGACTTGTTGATGACCAAATTTCATCAAAGTTCAATCTAGGGAGAACACCAAACGGTCTTCTTCTTATAGGAGTAGGAGCTTCTGTGGGGTGACTCGGAGCTCCCTCCAGTCCTTTGGTCCGTCATAGCCCTTCATCCGCTCATCAACGAGTTCCTTGGTCTCCCCATCCAAGGTATCGTAGTTCAGGAGTGCCTGGCGATGTTTTTTGCGGTTGCTACCCCTCGAACTGAATGCGTTTAAGCCAAGTTAAGCAAGCGCAACAAACATACAATTCTTTCGGAAGCCAACTAGCCAACTAATTGTGTATGTTTGATATAGTGTGTGAATGAAAGGCAAAACAACACCAACAAAACAGAGGAACACAATGGAAAACATATACTTTATTACTTACAGTTTGCCTGGCCTTTGGATGCACGCCAATGGCATTGTTGATGACCTCAGTTCCATGTGGTCGGGTGTGAAGCCAAGCGGCCAAATGCAAAGGGTGTGCTGCGCTTGCAGAGAGCCTTTGTGTGTGATTCTCGTCAGGCATGATTTGCGGCACAAACATCTTTTAGATGGTAGAACCATGCAATGATCCATCGCCACAACAAAAAACACATTGCACATCACTTACGAAAAAGACCAAATGAGTGCAAAACCTTGTCACCGTCACAATGCCAGTATTGTGCTTGTATTTGATGTTGGATTCTCCTTTCTTTCCAAAGACTGCACAGCCCACACTGACTACATATGTGCAAAGGATAGAAACCACCACCCATTTCCAAATGGGCCACCATCTCAAGTTCAGTCCAGTTCGAAATGGCCGCATGAAGCTAAGTGCGCTCGTTCAGGTCCAAGACTGGCAGGCTATGCCACATGCCCATTTCAGACTGGTCGCTGCAAAGCCGGACTCTGGAGTTCCGAGCTAAGCCTTTTAACCATCTGGACAGAAGGGCATATGAGGGCGGGAACATGGGGGAGCAGAACATGTGACACGTGGGAGAACATTCCGGAATTGACCTTTCCGGGCATCCCAAGTCACCTTTGTCCAAGCACGAACTCGTCGGGCGAACTCCGGGTGTCCGGGCGAACTCCAGGCGTGCCAGGCCAATGCCCTCGTTGGGCAACTGGCCGAAGGCGAAGGCGGTCTCCGGGTTGCCCACGTTCATCATGATCCTCAACTTGCTGCTTTTTGGGCGTTCTTGGCACATGGCAGGGCCTTGAGGTGGGATGGGAGAACCAACGATATTCGCAACAAAGTCTTACATTGCAGCAAGCTATAGGACACCTTAACTGCCTTGAAGGATGCCACTTGTTGAAATAGAAAAGAACGTGAGATCATGGCCCTCCAAATCATATGTCCACCTTCCCTTCCTGTCCGAAAAATGAAGAAACACCGGACAAGCCCCGGTCCGCCCCGGTCCGCCCAAACGGCCCACAATCCGCAATCCGCGGAGCGGAGCGAAAACCACCGAGTCTCTTGAGGCCAACCTCTGGAAGCTCTCCAAGGTCTTGGACCTTCTTCCTTTGAACCGAAGAACGCCGAAGTCGATGTTCGGCAGTGGGGACCGTGAGTGAGACCGTGAGTGAGAATGACCGAGGTGGTTGGTGGGGACCAAGAAATGCGTCTGGACAAAAGCAAGTGTTGATCAAAGCTATACAGTATGTGGTTGGTGGGTGTGTTGTTCTTTTTCTTTTCCATTAGGTGGTCAAAATACAAGAGAGTGTTCAGTAAATGGTTGTAGTCTATGTTTCCTCACCAGGAAGTCCTTCGGGGTATTGAATGCACACCCGATGAAAAGGATTAAGAAGCTCGAAACTTCACAAACAAGCTGCTCGAACTTCAGCTCACCTTTGTAGATGTAGCCAGTGTCGCCCTCTGCGCAGGAGACGGTGACCTTGTCACCTGCCACACGGATCGCTGCAGCTGCACCATCATGCTCACTTAATCATGTCCCTGCAGCTGCACCATCATCGTACAACGGATGAAAGATTCGTAAAACTGATGTCCAAACACTCCCCAAAGCCATGCAACGGATGGAAGATTTCTCTGCCAACACGGATCAGGTCGGCTGCACTGGAAGAGTAGAGGCCATCCCAACACCTCGGCCTGGTCCGAATAAGGTGACACATGGACCGAACAGTTGTAGCTTGTTGTGAAGTTGTGCCCTGGAAGAATCAACTTAAGATCTCACATCTTACACATAAATGTTGCATCCTTATCTCGATCAGTAAAGGGAGACAGGATAAGAAAATGTTTGGGGAAGCCATTCAACTGTTTTTGAGGGTTGCAATAACAAGACATTTCCAATGTATGTTTCCCATTTGTTCACAGTTGGTTCTTCATAGTTTCTGTTGCTCAGCTTCTGCTCAGCTTTGGCTAGAATTCTTGAACTCTGACCTGAAAACCCTTTTGGTGAGCTCACTCCAAGAACCTCCGTATAGAGGCGAATTTACAATTCAAGATTCATGGATCCGACCATCTTGTATGTCATGCCCTGAACCCTTTGGAACCATCGAACCATCCTCCATCTCACCCGTCTCCATCGTCGACTGCTGCTGCTCCGCCCACTCCTCCGGCCTTTGCTGACGCGGTCCGTAGCATCGCCACAGCCCACGATGGCCGGGATGCCCAGCTCGCGCGCGATGATGGCGGCATGGCAGGTGCGGCCGCCGCGGTTGGTGATGATCGCACCGGCCTTCTTCCTTGGACGTGGGACCAGCCACGGAGGAAACGAAAACAATGAAAATATAGAACCCTGGTGAGGGGGGGTCATGAAGTTCATGTGGAGAGGTATACAAAAACGGACCTTTAGGTCGAAGATAACGGGGATTGGTTGAGGGGTTGGACTCATCTGTGCAAGCATTTGTCTGTTTGCTCAGATCCTTTGGGTGAATCGTCACTGGAATCCAGCGGGATGGCTCTTGATGCTCTGGAAAAGCAGCATCCCATAGCATCCCTCATGTTTGTTCAAATTAATGTATATCACTGTCTCCTGCAAAAACGGCAAAAACATCGCTCTCAGCAATCAAATACACGGAATCATGAAGCAGCCAACGTTCATGAATTTCAAGTCTCATAATTACATAGAATTGAGTTTTGGACAGCATCCCGGACCAAAATCAGCAGCTACAGCATGCCCTCCAACTCACCTGTAGCATGGAATTGGAACTCAAAAAACAGGGGGTGCTCTACTTCCATGCCAGTGAGTGGGAGGCTTCACCGCTCTATGTGCTCCATGCGGCATGATGGGCTCCCAGTCGGGGTCCGTCATGTCGGCCACCAGCACTTCGCCCTCGGAGAATTCGCTCATCTGATCGATGCTGGTCAGGATGTTCACCTGGACCCGGTCCATGTCGGTCCCTTCGAGAAAACGCACAGCGAGCATGAACCTTCTCTCATTGGGCGAAAAGGATAGGAGTTCGGACCCACCCCAGACCATCCATGTATGAAATAGTTCTATACGTCATCCCAGAAACCAATGGAGTGACTTTATGTTTTGGTGAATCCCATTTTGGTGAAGTATAATAAGCATTCCACTAATTGATGGATCATCCGTCGTCCCCACTCGCACTCCCGGACTCCCGCTCCCGGCCTCGCCGCTGCCAATGCGCTTGCCAACGGCACGACCTTCCGCGATCTTCTCTCCACCTCGGTCGGACTCGCTGGTGGAAACAGTTACGGAGACCACCAACGATACGTGTTACGGTCACGGACCTTTCGTTGACGGTCACGGTCGTGTGGTCCAAACAACGAGCAAGGGTGTGGCCTTCGGCTTTCTTTTCGCAGAAGCAAAAGGACACTCTTCTAGGATTGACTCTCAGCACATGCATAAGACATGCCTTCCAATTTCAAGGACTCCATCCATGCCTCTCCAACAACATGTTTTAATATATTGAGCACATTTATTCACCTGCATCAAAGGTTCAACATGCACCTGTCCTGCATCAAAGGTGAGGTCTGGGGTCCCGTGCCTTTCTCCAACATCTTGTACTCTTCGATGACGCCCACCTTCTTCTGCGAAGCCACCGTCTCTGGGCGGGCCTGGACAATGTAGAGCTTCCCATCATCACCATCGCGAGCCCACTCAATGTCCTGCCACGGTTTGTTGCACGGTTTGTCGCAAACATGCGACAAAGTTGCTATTTTTCTGTTGTCACAAACGGTCCAAGATTGCTTTCTGGAAGTATATACTTTAGTTTCCAACTTTGTGTCCTCAGAAGGCATGTCAAGGTTTCTTGGGTGTTTTCGAAGGTCACTCTCTGTGGATCCTACAATTTACCAGAAAATCACATAAACTCTTCTCTTTCCCATGGGGACAATCAATTCGATCGTCATTCAAGAACCAAACTCTGATCTGCTGGTGCTCAAAAAAAACAGCATTGCACACGCCCAGGTGGTCCATGGGTCGTCCATAGTGCTTCTCGATCTTCACAGCCATCTCTGCAAGAGCCTTCACCTCTTCATCGGAGGCAGACCAGCTATTCTGCTCCTCATCGCTGGTGTCCACCGTTTCCGATCCACCGCCAGCCTGCCACACGGACGCGCAGGCTGGCGGATCTAGTACACCAACTGATATGGTGCTAACCTATCTAACCTTCCCTCCAAACCACCTAAACTTGGGAAGACCTTCATCTGAGGTCTTGCGTTTCTTCCCAGTCACACCTTGCGATACACCCGAGACACTCCATTCAACTGTACTCTCTAGAATATGTCTGTCTGCATCGCATGATTGTGGCTCAGCTATATGCATATTTTTGTTGGCGCAGGGGAGGTTCAAGCACCCGCCCTGCTTGGATGTCCCGGCATAGTGCAGTTCCGCCTTGTAGATCATCTTGCACAACTTGGAGCCCATCGTGCGAGAGATAATCGAGTTCTTTCCTTCTGCCAAGGTGGGCTTGAAGACATACCTCAGCATGAGCTCGCACCGCAATCTTGCACCAAAAAACACGGAACGCAAAGCCTGCAAGCTACAAGCTGTCTATGCAATTAGACTCAGGTGAACGTGCGAGTCTTGAAGAGACACCTTTGGCACTTCTCATCTCTTCTCATCCTTTCGTGTCCAAGGCACCATTCATCCGGATTCACCGTGCCACCCACCACGGTCTCGCCCAAGCCATAGGCAGAAGTCACGAAGACCACATCTTTGAAGCCGCTCTCCGTGTCTAAGGAGAACCTGACAGTGTCAACCACCGAGGAAGAGGAGGAAACCGAGGTGGTCGGAGGTCCTGGGAAAAAAAGTGCTTTCCGAAGATGTGGCCATGGTGTAGACACAGCACAAACAAAGTGTGGGATACGAGTACCATCCAGTCACCCAGCCAGTCACCCAGTGGGTTTCGGACAGAACATACACAATGACACGTACACCATATATGTGGATCTTTCTGGTTCGCTTTTGAGCAGCTTCCACGTCATGTTCGTTGTTGTGGTGAAGGGTCCCGGGATCCATGTCGATGGGTCTAAGGATGAAGGCCACGGCGGAAATGAACCACCTGTTGTGGATGGGGTTGCGCCTGGGGTCGAAACAAATCCACTTCTCTTTGGGCCAATTCATCGACCATTCTGCCTCAGTTTGAAACCTGCCAGCAGAAGGCGAAAAAGGGCGCCTGTCATCCACCCGAAGGCGAAAAAGGGGGACTCACCTTTGATTAGTACCTCTTCAACTGCGAGTCATTGCGAATCATTGCAAGTCATTGAATGACTCCAAGTCTTCATGTCCAAAGGAACCGAGTCCAACGGTCACCGCTCCTTTGGCACGTCCTCTTTCGGTCCGGGTGGGCCGACCCGAGCTCGAAACGCGAAGAGACCTGCCGAGGTGTTTACGGTCAAAACTCCAAGCTGCCGAGAGACATTTTAGTAACAAGTGCCTTACTAGTAGTAACAGGTGCCTTGCTAGTAGTAACAAGAAGCTATTAACTAATTTTAACTTATAATTATAAATACTTGAAATAAAAAAGCACGAATTCAATCCATTCTCCCACCAGTCCACCTGGGGCTCCAAGCATCACTCCAGCCGAGCCGGTCTCGCTGCGCACCATCTTTTGGCAGGTCGCGCAGAGCTGAACCTTCTCGTGCTCGAAACCTGGTGACACAGCGAGCAGTCCAGGAAGCGGACGAGACGGTGCTTTTCTGGTGCGGTTTTTGTGTGTCTATCTTTTGGTTGGAGGGAATCCGGCCGATGATTGTGTTCTTTTTTCAATGCAAATGTGAGGTGATCCAGCAATTAAAGGGCCTGCTGTGGAAAAAGAATGACTTATGGCCCCCATGTCTGTGCAAAAGGATGTACAGAAACTATTCCATAGCATCCTATACAAGAGCTGATAATGTTCACATGTCTGGCTTGGAAGATTCACCATGGAGGTTCAATGTGACGTTCACCAGCGGTTGTAAAGCTGTTGAATCCCAGACGGCACATCGACCACAGCTGGGGCCGCAGCAGGTTGGTTGAGACAATGATGCTAATGCATCCGGATGCTGCTTAAGGCACCAAAAACCTACAAGTAAGATAACCAAATGTCCAACCAGTTTGAACCATGAGATTCGCCTTCGGGGTGCAAAGTGATAGAACCTGCGATGAAAAACAGGTGAGTCTCGGTGTTGAAAAAGTGACAATCACATAAGTTCACGACTATCCCGTCACTCAAGTTCCAAAAACCTTGATGGGCCCGCCCAAAAAACTGCTTTATGGTGTCCATAGCAGTGAAAGGGAATTTGCCAAAGAAAGTGCGCCCTTCATTTCAGTGAAACTAAGTATATTATCAGGAGAATAGGTTGCGCTCTGAACTCTGAAGTGTCCTGTCCCAGCAAAAGCACAAGAAGTCAGAAGTCTGTGATTCTAAACAATAATGCTGTTATACCGTCCGCTAGCGTTTGCGGACATCAAAAGCAGCTTGCTGAGAATGTTGACCTGCGGTAAATACCAAGAGAGTTAGCATCCCCAAATCGCAATTTCATGGTAGGACTTTGCAAAAACACTCCGGCAACGAAGAGAAAGGCCTCTGTCATGACGGTAGGAGATGGCGCGGTCGGTGAAGAGGGAGGCGAAGACCAAATGCACCTTCTCTTTCATGTCCTGAAAGTGAGCCATGTTTGTTATGCAAAGAAATGGCTTTTGTCCATGCTTGAAAGCAAACCCCGTTCTTTCCTATTGTTTATCCTGCTTCTCTTCTTCCAGAATGCCAAGCAAACAAGAAGCACAGCTCCACTGGACTCCGCTTCGGACGGAAACGCCAAGCCAGAATCGACAATTATATAGTGAACTCTCCCAGTTCAGTGGACTACTCCCTTCCGCAGGCCGGTACGTAGCAATGGCAACGTCCTGGACCCGGACCCCTCCGCAGTAGCTGATGTCTGAAAAACTGGCACCACCTTATGAAGCCCAGGAGTTCAGGTCGGTGCCCTTCAGTTCGCCCTCCAAAACGAGTCGACCCATGATATACTCAATCCATCTCAATCTCATCATCCCAACCACACGTCCAACATACTCCAACCATTCCATCTCAATCCCAATCCCTCCCATCACCCGATGTGGTGTGCTGGACGTCCTTATAGCCCATGACGTTCAGGAAGGTCTCCTGCTGCCCGGCGAAGGAGGCGTCCGGCAGGTCCTCCGCGGTGGCCGAGGAGCGCACGGCGAAGGTGAACTTCTCGTCGCCGCCGGAGACGCGCTGCCACTGCGCCTGGGGAGGAGACTGGGAGGAAGATGCGGCGAGCGAAACACACGGGACGGGCAATGGGAAAATAGTCATGAACAAACTACAGTATAAGGAACTGATAGGATCATTCTGATCATTCAGCTGAAATTTGCTGAGGCATGTGACACCCAGCATGGGTGTGTGGAAACACATTGCAGTTTGAGAGTGTTCCAGAGTGATGTGTGTCCTAGCTTCAAAAGGAAATATGCCTAAAGCCTACTTCTGCCAAGTAGCTTTGAGCTCCTCTTCGAAGTCTTCTTGGAAAGGAGTGTCCATGATCTTGTCACGAATCTCTTTGCCGACCTGAACATGCGTTTTTTTTCTTCAAATGACGGCCGAGCGTGAAATCCATGGGGTTCATCGACTGACTGCTTGATGACTATCTTGACTGTGCCACTGACACGTCGGTCGGGGCGCCTTCATGAGTTTGTCAACATCTTCATAGATGGACTCATCAGAAAGCTTGTCGTTGATGAACTCATTGATGCCACCTCACGTGAACAGCTCGCAGGTCGTTGGGACGCGAAGAACATCGCATTAAAGAGTCAGCTGCCCATGTTTCTGCATGCGATGACATCTCAGGAAAACCACTTTCAGAACACCCTGACTTGAACATGAAGAATGTTTGGCCGCCAAGCGTAACTTGAGGCTTTGCATCGCGTGGAGGTTTCTGATGAGGCTGGATGGAGGGATCAAGCACCGCACGGAACAGCAAGAAACTAACTGAGCCGCCTTTGTCCAGAAACTCCTTGTACGCAAAGGCAGTGGTGCTAAAGCCACCTCAAGTTGATTGGGTGCGACTTGGAGAACTACTGAAGTGGCCAAGTCCTGCATGGAATATGATATGAACAAGGGCTAGGACTAGGACCTTCAAATCAAGCAACCGTATATTATGGGTGTTGCAAATGCAAGGATCCTCAAACACTGTGTATCCCATTGTTGCAGCTCCAAGCAGATTCAAGCAGTATGGTCACGTACTAAGTAATCCTCCTATTATCTCCTCCACAAGAGCATAAAGACATGATGTAATGCGCAATAATATAGATCCAATAGACAAGGTCAAACAAAACCATCATCACGAACGGGGCATGGTGAGAGGTGGAACAAAGCCACCTCACCTGCGGTCCCCAAGATCACGCCAAGTCCTTAGGTCCTTGGGCGAAACTGGGTAAAGCATGGTAAAGCATATTCAGAACATGAAGATCCTCGAGTCTACAAAATATCTAGCTCACCCTCGCCTTAGTTCAACCATGTTCAACCATTTGCACAAGTACCTGGCGTACTTGAACCACTTTACCTCCTATTTGGAATTTCCCACTGGCTGAACCAAAAGAATTTTTCCCTGAACCTGTTCACCCTCCGGTTCCCTTCGCCACCCAGCTCCGTTATCGAGCAAATCCCTCAACCATCCTCCGTCCCCACCTGGCACTGGCACGCCCACGTCCGAGAGTTGCGAGATCATCTCACCCAGGGAAGCGCTCTTGCCACCGACTTTCTCCACATCCGTGTTCCGGAGCTCCTGACGGGCCGACTCTCCCCATGCCAGGACCTTTTGGGTCGGATGCAGAAGCCAGTGCGACTGCGAAGGCAGGTGGTTTTCGTGGACGTTTGGAAACTCACTCGTGCTGGAAGCCTCACCGACTCTGAGTCGCGGCTTCTGATGCTGCGCAGCTGGGAGATTGAACCAACCGACTCTCATCAACCTGCACTTGCAAAGCGGGTACCAACTCTCTGTCTCCTCCAAAGGAATGCAAACTCGGGTGTCTTCCTCACCCCCTCGTGCGCGCAAGGATACCACGGATTTCTTGGACTTCTTGCTCCGGCTCGCAGATGCCCCTGCCAGGCTCAGCAGACCGAGACCTGCCACCGCAACCGGCGCTGCGCTGGGTACCGCGCGTGCTGAAGATGCCGCGCTGCGAGCTGGCGCAGTGCTGGAGGCGCTGGAGGTGCGTGTCATTGAGCTGGGCATCTGCAGGCAGTGGTTGGCCAGGAAACCAACCCCGGTCCAGCACACCACAAAACACAAACCTGTATCACCGTCACCTTCGAGTTGCAAATTATACAGAATGTGGCTTCTACGACTTATAACTTATAATCTATAATTGAATGCAAACATCGATGAGAAGTGCTACCATTTGGTTCTCTCTTCCCTTTTCAAAAGCGACCAGTTGAAAACCAACCGATCAGTGCATCGCGAAGGAACCGTGGCCTGTGGCGCGACAAAACCATAGCTGCCATAGCTCATCGCGCTCATCCCGGTGAGCGCCACCGCAGCCGCCGTACGGCGCACGGGCATCTTGCTGTGGACGGCCATGGGGCCTACCGGTCGCACTGGCGGGTCGCCCACTGGGATCGGGGTCCACATAAGGCACATGCCATGCACAACCAGTTTTAACATGTTGGGAAAAAACAAACACAAGGCCCTAAGGCCCTAAGGCCCTGTTCATTCCAGTGGAGCCATCTGTATATCCATCTGATGACTCGATGACCCTTCAATTGACCAAAGCAAGCAAGTCGGCAACTCCCGGGCTCAACAGCTGATTCCACGATAGATCACATGTTCAGTCTGGTTGACATGATACTTCCAGGATCTTCCGGGAAAACAACAACACAACACATCAGAGAACAAACTTCTCCAAACAACTAGTATCGACATGAAAGCGGAGACCCTACCCCCAAGTTCTGAAGACTCAAGATGCCACCAGAAGCCAAGAGCTTTTGCGAAAAGCACGCAATACACCCCTCAACATCCGGGCAAGCAATAAGCAACACCACTGGGTTTGGTTCAGGCCCGGACCCCTGTCGTGGAGGGTCCAAAGGATTCTTTGGGCACTACATGTTGGCTGTGGAAGGTCTCCATCCTTTCCCTTCCAACTGTCCACCCACAGTCACCCCGCAGTCACTCGCCTGAGCTTGAAACGGGGCCCGGCGAACGGGTCTTTGCAGCAAAATCGCTGAAGCCAAGAAGAAGCGGGTCGCACAACTCCTGCGCAAGGTGCTCTGGGGATCTGTCCGCGGGTCGCAGGGTGCGACTAGCTCAGCACTGTCCCGGTGCGCAAGAGATCTATGAAAATGTCCAAGAAGATCTCGGAGAAAACGGGACTTGGTTGATCAACAGAGCCGATTCCATGGCTTGTCCATAAGACTGTTGGCTTTGGTGAACCACCATTGGAAGTAAGTTCCCCCTCGAAAACATCTATCCATGGTCGCGAGTCATGGGAAAAAGCTCCACAACTAGGCGAGCTCAAAACACTCACTCGGTGCTTTTTGCTTTTTGCTTTTTTTCTGGGCTTATGCAGTGTGTTTCTCAGCTTTGACATGAACTACCTGGACCATCCTGTCTGGGTGTCCTGGCTGGAGATCTCGGATAGTAGTGTAGGGTAGTACCAGCCAGGACACCCAAACAGGATGGTCCTGATACAGTACTTGTGGGCTTCGAGTACCTGATAGTCATCAGCTCCAAGGCGGGCGGTTTTTTTGCTTCGCGGCATTTGATTCACTGGTTTCAGCTGCGGCGCTGCGCTGCTCGTTGATCATTTGCCAAGGAGGACTCCCAAAGGGTCTTAGAATAGGGCGGCCCCGAAAAATCCAGAGCTGTAAGTTCTTTCGCAGAGTTGCTCAACGCAAAACTCCTTTTCAGGCAGGAATACCCCAATCCCAAAGATGCCTGCCACAAGCAAATCTATAAGACATTATAATCATTATAACACGAGCGTTTTGAGTTGATGAGATTAGGTTCTGGCAGCCATCCGTAGACCAGTATAGAGATGAAGAGTTCAGTTAGGAAAGAAACAGAACCAACAAGAAAACAATCAAACATAGGAGAAAGAAGACGTCCAATTAATCCTGGCAGGACTCAAACCTTCAGTCTTTGGTTTCAACTACCAACGACTTATCCCTTAGGCCACAGGACCCTCCAAAGTAAGCATGTCACACCGTGCGCAACATAGTTGCCACAAAAACAGGCTGGGTACGTACTCTATAGTTAAATATTGGTTACAGCATGTTACAGCCATATTTGTAAAGTCAGAGCACGTGCGCGCTCATTGATTCATGGCTTTTGCTGTTTGATATGCCGAAGACACTGCGCGTTGTGCGTATCAATAGGCAAATTACAAGCCTCGCACCACCATGCGTTGGCGCAAGCATGCCTCATCTAAGCCTGGCTCTTCAAGCAAGCACTCGACCTCCATATCACGGATCTTTGTGTGCTGGCCTACGTCTTTCCGGAGTCCTCCTCAAGTCAATCTCAACAAATGCCCTGCTCAACAGTTTCTCACCCAGAAAAACCAGTGGGGTGACTGTCCGGCTGGACCTGCTGTTGGGGTGTTTCAGGTGAGAAGCTGAAGCTGAGGGTCGTGCTCAAGAGACGCTCAAAAGGGTCTGCACATGAGCAGATTGAAGATCCAAAACAATTCACCCTTCGGGCTAAAGGAAAGCCAATGGTCTGGCTGAAAATTTGCGGCTGTTGACCAGCAAAGTCTCAAATCGATCTCCGGAATGGCCAGCAAACTTCATGTGTGTTGCACCAGTCTACTGAACTCATTCCAGGCAACATGAGACGAGGTCAAAAGAAGCCTGAGTCGGTTGGAGGGGCTAGAGTCTCCTCTTGAGAGGGGTCAGGTCAGTCAATCTCGCTTCATGCTGCCTTGTGGGGCATGAAACATGGCGCAGCTACTGGCGCAGCTCATTTCTTCGCCAAGAATTGCCAGGTGGGGATGACCTCAGATCTTCTCGAAGTGAGTTTCAGTGACAGTCCTCGTGCTGTGGCTGTTGCTCAACACAACGAACTCTTAGGCTGATGGAAGCCCCTCAGAATTGGTCGATCTCAAAATCCCCAACAGTCAACCGTTGGAATGAGATGTTCAAGTTCTGGGTAGTTGATTCATCAACACAATTCCGCAATTCGCTTGAGGAATCCTTCAGAAGACCAATAAACGCTGCCTCCGCGATTTACATTTGCGCCCAGCGGCGGAGTCTGGGTTGAGCGACACCGAGTCGATGCCCTGCGTGGGGACGGACGCCGAATGAACAAAGGCAGGTCTGGAAGAGAAGAGAAGAGAGTGAACCTGGAAGGTACAGTGGTTTCAGAGTAGATGGTACAATCCCAAAGAGGTGTTTGTTTATAGTGACCCTATGTGACCCTCATTTCTCTTTGGTATTGTGCCATCCATTATGAAACCACTGTAGAATGTCCAGGTTCCCTCTTGAGATTGTTTGTAGATGTCTGAAATTCCTGCATAGTCCTTCATTGCCCTTAAAAGGATGTTCCAATCAGCAAAACGATTCCGGTCATCTTCCGGTCCCTACGGGAAGATTGGGTGGAAGACTTCTACAGTAACCGGACCGGAGCATAAGTATTCTATACGTTCTATTCCCATATGTGTTTTTACTCCCAAACACTCAGAGACCCTTTCGATTTGCTCACAGCCGAGTCAAACAACAGATCACCCACCGCCGTCACCATCCACCGTCCGCCGCGACTGGCGCCACCGCCGGCGTCCGCCTGCTCCATGAGCCACTTCGCGAGGTCTGGGTGATCGGAAGGGCCCTGTCCGCAGATGCCCACGTACCTCGGTGCCGGGCCGTCGTCCCCAACGAACCAACGGGATCCAAACGATGTACCAAGCAGCTGACTGAGCGCAAGTAACACGGGGCCGAGTCTTGGTCCTTCCTTTCGGCAACTGTCCATTGGTTGGAAGGGTGATGAGGTGTGATGGGTGAGTGTGGGCTGACAAGGCACATGAATGGCACAGCGAAGGATCATGAGTTTGGGCCCTTAATGGGTATGGGGAGAATGCCCAACCAGTCGAACATTTATATTATAGATCACCTACGATACAAATCACGATAAAATGTTACGAGGGGCACCTGATCTTTTTAGGTTGTGCCATGCCAAAAGTCGGATCTTCACTGCTCAAACACCAATCTGCATCCATCTCTGTCTCGCATCCTCAAGTCGGAGTTTGCTTGGTACCCTCCCCAATCAACAAGTTGCTGAGAACAATTGGATTTGACAACTAAATTAACCCAAAAATCCGCTGAAGATCCTCCCCATCCATCCAAGAATCCATCCTAGAGTACCCATCCTAACCCAACAGCCATCAACAGGCCTCCAACCATTCAGCCATTCAAAACCTAAGAATTGAACCCTTCTGATCCATTCTTCTTTGATCAAGGCACTTGCCCTTCTTCTTAGCTGCTTTGATCAAGGTCTCCAAACCCTTCATCACCGCAGGGTTTCGCTCGTCGAAGTACTGGGCCACTAGGCCTCGAGGCGGGTTGGCGGTCGAAGCCGCAAGCCGGGTTGCCGGGTGTAGAAGCTGGAGGTCAACTGATTTCGGCTGTTGTTGTTGTTGTTTGGTGCAGAACTCGGTTAGGGCGCTAATATTGTAGTCAGCTGAGAAGCTGCTGTCGCCTCTGTCAGTACTTGCGTCAGTACTTCTTGGTCTTACCAACATCAGCTTTTTCAAGTTGTTTTCTTCACCCATGTTTTACCCCATGTGACATTGATTCAATCCTTGCTCCAACAAGCCCGTCCCATCTTTCAACTCCAAAAGCCAATCCCTTCACCAAAATCACGGCGAATCCATCAGGTCAGTGCATCACCACCTCGTTTCGTCACGTCGTCGCCTGAATCACGGTCCAGTCCCAAGGTCAGCTGCGTCAGATCGTTGCTGCCAATGGAGAAGCCGTCCTGACGTGGCTCCCACTGGTGGCTCCCACGTGGTCGTTGGGCGAGCGAGCATCCGAGCGAGCAAAGTCGATGATGGTCAATGCATCTGTTGTGAATAAGGCCAAGTCCCTGCTCCCAGCTGGAAGGTTGTAAGTCAAACACTCTGAAATGATTACAGGGCTCAAACAGCCATGAACAAAAACTGCCGTGAGAAATCATAGATGACCCTTCCAGTGACCTCTGATTCCAAGCGTGGCCCAGCTCTTTGAACAGCGCGATACGACGAAGGCGAGCGGCGAAATACTCCAGGAACTCTTCCGCGAGGAAGACGTTGCTTGGAAGTTCAGCCATCATATTCACCTGAACAGGAAAGGACTGTTGCTCTGCAGATCTGCAAGAAGAATTGAGACTTATAATTTATATATCCAAAGCTGACAAAGAGGATTCGAACGCTCTTTGCTCTTGAACATCTTGAACTTCTTGAGAAGGCGGTTGTGATTTTGAGCTATTTTGCAGGTCAAAATAACTCGATCGACGACTGTTGGTCCTCGTGGTTGGTTTTCACCGAAGGTGTCGGGTCATTAGTGAATAATATTGAATATCATTATATATAGTTCTTACTCTAGAGACTCTTTGGG